TGGCTGACTCTCCCTTACCCTCCGTCACCCGTGTTCCCTCCTGCGATGCGGCTCTGCCGCTCCGTTCCGTGGGTCCGCCTGTTCTGCGCTGATCTTTTGATACGCGCCGGGAGAAAACTGATGTATCTTCCGCGCATTTTTTCTTCATGCCGTGTACAAACGTGCTCTCACCTGAAGGGGCCTTGAATACCACCGGATCATCCGTGAGCTCGTGGAAACAACGAAAATCTCCCTTCCGGACGTCTTCCGGATGAAAGGGTTTTCATCAAGACGATACAGGCACGTACACAGTCACGACAGCCTACCACATCAGATGTCAAGATGTGTTCCCCAAAGCCTTGCAAAAGGCCCATCCCTTTCGCTGACCTGTCGATTTCTGTGCCGTCTTGCCCGAGACCCTCTGTCTCGGTGCGGTCGCGATGGAGAAGGGTCGCGACTCCTTGTTACACATTGTCTCGCTAGGGCGGGTGAACGGCGGGTGGGACAAGATGGCGGGTCTCACGGGTGAATTTTCACCACGAGGACGCGACCATGACGGTATAAACCGTTGTCGATGATGTTTGGTGGTTTGTGTGAGGAATGTGAACGAGTCATTGGCCACGTACGCGCATTGCGGCCGCGAGTATGGGAATTCGTCATGCTTCATTCCTCGGCCGTGCTCTCTGCTCCGTGCTCTCAGCTGAGTTGGACCGATGTAATCAGCCTTGGTCTATGGTGGTTTGTCGACATATAGGTAAATGTACTACCACGAGACTACCCTGAGTGCCTGACTAGGAGAATGTGCCACGAGGCTTTTGGTGTGTTATTTTTCACCCGCATCAAACGGATGGCTTTCGACTGTTAAGAGCCCAGCCCTCGTGAGGCCACGTAGGGGTGATTCCGATATATAGAATCTAAGCTGAAGAGGAGAGATTTGGAGCGGGGATTCCGCAGAGGAAAAACGTTCAAGTGGGACCACCGCGGAATCGGCGCGGTAAGTCGTGGCAGAATCCGGGCCTTAGCCCGGATCCACTAATCGGGTCCAGCCCGTAACATCGACATACTCATTCCGTCAGGTGCCGAATAGTATCGACACATTAAGTTACGTCCTCATTCAGGGTAGTAACAAATGACATATTGATCTGTCCCGACTTCTATCATATACTCGTATCGATCGATGAGACTGAGAATTAGAGAATAGGGTCCAAAGAACTAGGCAACGATGCTGACGCGATCCGGCACTCGATGGGATTGACCTAGCTCTTATACGTTCTTGTACCACAACTTCACTGGCTGAAATGCACCTTGACTAAGTATCAAGCTCTTGAACCCTCATGTAGATGTTCAATGCCTTCCGTGAAAGACGTTTTTCCTACTGGAGTCGCCGCCGGAGGCTAATACTCAAAGGGACTTAGCAGAGGCGTCTCCGTCCCTTCCAAGCCCAGGCATCTAGGCAAGCACGCAAGGTCACAATAGATGTGGCTGTGCTATCCCCATATATGTACCGTGTGACAAAATGTCAGAATACAAGTTGTTAATTTGTCTTATCTGACAGTATCCTGCCTAAGATAAGGTAGCTTGAGACCGGCCGGTCTTTCCGTAGCTGTATAGTAGTGACCGTAACTTAGTATTCTTAACACTTGACTTGCACCATAATACAGTTTTGATGAATGCTTCATCACCTTTAGTCAGATGATTTCGCTTTGATGGCTAGCCTCATGAGGTTAATGACTACTCAAGCAGGCTATACCGAGCTTTCATAAGTTCCTACTCGCCGTTTTTCTCTTTTGTAGTCTCAATTTCCTGGCTCCCATCTTCACTATCAGTATCAATCCACACCGAATCTGACTCCGATGAGTACTCCGCTGTAAAACTCTCCAAAAACCTAGCGAAGAATTGTGTAAGGTAATGTTCCAAACCCAAATCATCGAGGCTGCGCTGATAACCGCTCTCTAGGATCTCCTTCGATTCCACCCACTTGCCAAGTTTGTACTTGATGTTTCCCATATGATACATTCAATTAAGTACATCCTCCCCAGTGTCGCCATAAATGCTGTTGGGCAGCGATTATCAGGTAGGGGGTCAATGGGATGTATTGATGAGTATGAAGAACGAGTGGCTATGGGAATATCCCGACTATCTATATAGTGAGTGGAAGACCCTTTATACTGGCATATCCTTGGCAAACTTAGTCATGCTTGTGTAAGACCATATTGTTTCATAGGCATAGTGTGACAATCGTTGTAACGAGTGTACTGGGATGGGCCTGACAAATGCCTTGATACAATCGAAGCGCGTGAGCCATACTCTCCTCTGCGTCTCCGAACAACCCTTGTCCGTATTGCAGAACGGACAAACGCCTAATTGCCTTGGCCTCCTCTTCCGATCCATGTTCAAGTTCTCCGAAATTCTTGATAAGATGCACAACTTGGCGCTGAATATCGATTGCTTCCTGAAAGCGCTGTTGTTCGCCTAAGACATCCGCCATCGTGCCCAATAATCTAATGTTGATATCAGACGCTTTGATTCTGTTTAGGTTATTGGGTATAGCCTGACGACAGACTGCCTCTGCCTCTTGCAGTTTTTCTTGCGTGGCAAACGTACCTGCCACTTCATAGGCAAGCTCAAGATTAGAGTCTTTGCTGGAATCAAACGCCTCTTTGATCAACTTCAATACCTGCAAGCAAGTTTCTTCCGCTTCTTCCGTGTTGTCCAACTCCTGAAATGTCGTGCTTAAGTAAGCCATCAGGCATGCTCTGTGCACGAGAAACTCAACATTGTTTTCTTCAAGTTGTCCGATGGCACCAACTAGCAAGTCTTTTGCTTCTCTGTAGTCCCCTAACTCTAGATACAACATAGCAAGAGAGCTGATTGTGTAAAATCTGGTCGCACTATCCTGCGGTTGGATGACAACCAAACCAACGAGCGTTTGCTTCGCGTCTGGTTTGCGGTCGAGAGATTGGAGAATAATTGCCTTCAGTCGCACTGCGTTAAAGTAGAGCTCTGTCAGCTTACTTTGTCCTAGTGAACCCAAGTTTTCTTCAGTCATGTCGAGTGCGAGCGTAAGTCGGCCCATACTCCAATACAGTTCCGCTATGCAATTTCTAATCGGGAGGGTCAAAGACTTATTCGTGACGGTATTTTTAGCATCGGCTGCCAATACAGCTTGGTAATGAGGAAGATCCTTATAGAGCACGCCTTTGTAAGAACTTGAGGAGACCTTGCACATTGTTGCTAGTGCTTTTCCGACGAAACTATCTGCCAAGCCTTTCCGATTAAGCCATGCTGCAGTTGCCAACTGGACGAGGCGGTGCATTTTCAAGGTCTTGTTTTGGCTTTCCTTGATGAACGAAAAGGCCTTGAGAATACCGAGAGCTCGCTCTAGAAGCCCTGAACTTCTATGGTGGAATCGAAGTGCTCTTCGACATGTCCGGTTTCGTCATTGCTTGATGTCGCAGCGCCACACGTGGCGCTGCCGGTTACTGCCGTACGATACCGCTTTCCACAAGCCGATTACCCGTCTTGTACGGTATATAGATAGTGTTGGTATACACGTCAGCAGGGCAACCGTACGGTTGGAACGAAGTGTCAATAATGGTCTATTATTGCTGCGTCTTGAGGTGGAAGGAGGAGGTTGTGGGCAGAGCCCACGGCCTCTCAGAAGTGGTATGTAAGGGGTCGTTTGTAAGTGCCCATACCGCCTTCCAGATCCACCTTTTCTGCCGACTGCTCAGAGATCCAACAGATAGGACCCTCATACGGGTCTTCCACTTAGAGGAATCAAGCCACTTTCTACTATACAAGTCTTCCACTTGCTACCTCGCTTTGTGATACTTGATGAGGGGTCTTGGTCATCGCTCTCATATTCATAGCCTTCCGCTGGGTATTTCTCCAAGTACATAGATGGTCATGAATCGCCTCTTGATCGCTTGGCGATCAAAGAAAGCCATCAATGACATCATCTCAGCCGCAAGTGCATATTTCTTCTTGATATGTGTTGGTATTCCTTTCACAGGGAATTTGGTTCGAACCGTAGGGTCCTGGGGGTGACGAAGTATCAATATCTCTGTATTGATTGATTCTGCGTAAGGAGTAGAATGGAGATTCCAACCGGAGGTTGGGTGGGTAGTCGAGGTCTAAGTGTACCCCCTCGAGGTGGCCCATACTCTGCCCCTACTCGCGGCCGAATTGAACTTCCAATCCGACAATATGCTCGAAAGACACCACCCAGGTAGCCATTACTGCCTGTGGAATCTCGTTACAGTAGAAATCGAAATCGGTTTCCTTGTTCATAAACAGAAACTCTTCTGCGCACAGATGTTTGTGGATCCGTTTGCTGACAGGGTACATGACAGGGCCCCGACGGTACCTTCTTGATGACCTCTATAGCCGATCACAGAAATTGCTTTTACACTGTGTTCGTGGATTAGACCCATGTTGCATAATCCAACATCCACAAACGGCGGCGATAAGTGCAGTCTACGAATTATGCCACTTGATCACATCCCCCTGTCTGTATATACAGAATTGGCTGTGTCGATGCGTGCGTTTGCTGATTACTATGTGTCTGAGGTTAACCTCCTAATTCTGCTTCAAACCAGATTACGCTGAAAATATAGCATCAAGATGTTTGGTTTGACACCAAACTTCAGTTTTGCACTGATCCATCACCTATTCTGGCTTCGATTACCCCGCTTAGGTCCCTATAATTATGGTTTCTCCCGTGTAAAAGTGTCAAAGTATCTCTTTATATATTGGAGGCTCTAGTCCATAGGCTCCCCGAAAAAGTACTACCGCGGATAGGTTCTCTCGAAGCGAAGGTTCATTTTGATGCTGCTCGATCTATAAGTATATCGGCCTCCGAATTCCGATATCCTGCCGATAACCTCGGTAGGCACGACTGTATCTTGATATAAGCGAGATATGTTCTGCTAACGGTTGCACTATCCCATCGGGTGCTGATGGACAGCACTTTCGCCAAGACCATGAAATACCCACAATGTATCCACTATTACCCCGCATTTAAAGGGGTACTTGACGATACGTCACTCATCCCTATGCTCTTTTGCCTATTATTATCACTATCATTACCATCTTGATTGATACTGTGATGTCTTCTGGTGATTCTGATACCTCTATTGCATCTAATGCTTCTATTACTTCTATACGCAGCTGTATAGTAGTTGAGGTCCACCCAGAAGACCTTACTGCTGCCTGTAATACAGACTGTACGCCCGAGCGCTGTGACGCAGCTACAGTCCGGCCCCACGAACCTCCGGCAACTCAGCATGGTCCTCCGGGCTCCTTCCGACCCTTCAACGTGCCGGCCCGGGCCCAAGAGATACGGGGGCTACCGGCAAGCCCGCTTGAACTGTTCCTCCAATACGTTCCGCAGAGCCTCGTAGAGCAGTGGGCCCAGTGGACGAATACAGCACCGTTGTCTAGGGAGGGCCCTAGGGCTAGACGGGCTACAGACAAAAGGAATACCTCTATTCCATGGGAACAGCATAGGAAGGGATCAAGAAAGGTATCTTAACCTTGTACCTATTGTGGTAATAGGAAGGCTTTAAAGGAGATATCTGGGAATGCCATCGCTCGGCAACGACGGCAGACAACTCGAAAGGGCTGCTTAGATTGTAATGTACCGTTATGTATTAGCAAAGATTGCTGGTACCTCTGGCACACCCAATATTTATAGGAAATAGAGGTACTGCAGCCCTATTGGTTAACTTAATAAATTTGCAAGCCCTTATTGGCTCTACCCCGCCCTTGGCGAAAGTGCTGTCCATCAGCACCCGATGGGATAGTACCTAATATTGCTGCATCGTAGTATGAGCTGATCCGGGATATGATATTTTCTGGTGAATTTACTAATAATAGTATAGTAGAGGCCGTAGGATGTAGCGCGCGGACGGTGCATAATATCCGAGCGAATCTTGAATGCTTTGGGAATATAAGAGCTCCTCCTAACGGAGTTGGATGCCCGAGGATGATTATGCCGCTAATGCTTTATGCTTTGTGCGACCGGTTGATCGAAAAGCCTAACCTATACTAAGACGAGATAATTATGTTCCTTTGGGATGAATTCGAGACTCTAGTGACGGCTTCCAGTATCAGTCGCGCTTTAGCTTTAGCTGGGTGGAGTAAGAAAGTGGCCCGACGGGTTGCCTAAGAGCGAAACGCAGATCTGCGGGACTTCTATCTCCATGGGTTGTCGGCTTTCCGATCCTATCATCTTATTTTTGTTGACGAGTCAGGGTGCGATAAGCGTGCTGGCTTCCGGCGGACTGGATGGTCTCCTTTGGGAGTAACTCCAGTTCAGGTTGCTCGATTCCATCGCGACCGACGGTACCAGGTGTTGCCTGCTTACACGCAAGATAGCATCATCTATTCGCGTGTCTTTCAGGGCACTACCGATAGTACGGTATTCGAGAGCTTTATTGAGGAGCTCCTCCCTTCTTGTGGGAGATGGCCTGAGCCGAAGTCCGTAATTATCATGGATAATGCTTCTTTTTATCACTCTAAACGGATTCAAGAGCTCTGTGCTAAAGCAGGTTGTTACAACCCAACATGCATAACAAGGCCAGGGGGCCCGCCCCACAGGCCTGCGGCGGCTATCTACCTGATATACGCAGAGAATCCGGGAACTCAGGTGACTCCTCATTGAACGGAGAAACTATGGAACAAGTCACGTGACGCTAAGGAAAGTGAGCACACCATAAGGTGATCACAGTGATCACCCAAAGTGAGCGTATACCTCGAAAGGTACCCACTGTTAGTAATTGTTAAGGTTATAGAGGGCTACGGCCCACTGCACTATCATCTCTCAACATCAGCCCATACGAGCTGAATTCCACGACCATGGCGGTCTCCCTAGATGTAGGGCCATCGATCACGGTTCACGGGGACGCCGGTATATCTCGGCGGTCGGGACGAGTCCGGAAGCCGACTGCAAAGGTCAGAGTGGTTGAGCAGGTCAACCACCAGGACAATTCTGAGCTCAAAGACGAGATCAATAAGCTTTCGAATCTGGTCCAGGACCTCCTGCGTCGGGACGCCGAGAGGGAACAGTTTTTGAAAGACTGTTTGACGAAGATCGAATCCTTGGAGAGAGAGCTTCAGGAGGAGAAACAGCGTTCCAACCGGCATCAACGTGGTCTAGCAAGGTCTATGCACGCTATTGGCACAGGGCCTAGCGAGACTGAACTGAGTTCCCAGGGGCATCCCTCGCACACAACCCAGAACCAGCCGCCCCCAGTCCGTTCATACGCGGCGGCGGCGAGCCAGCCACTGTCCAGAAGACAGGATGAACCAACGCCAGCCAAACAAGCCGCAAAACAAGCTACAAACCGGGCGGCCTTAAAGGATCTACGCGTCTTCGCGCGTCTATCGCCTGAAAGCCCGCTTCGGAACGAGAAAGCCTACGACATATACATCTTCGTTCGGGAAAGGCTAAGTCCCCAAGCCCGAGAAGCCCTCAAGGGGATCGACCATGTCAAGACAGGATTAGCACTCCTACCTTCGTCAATGGAAGGTGCAAAAGTCCTGCTAGAGAACAGAGAACAGATCGCTGCCCTTCTCCAAGCGCAAGCGATCGAGCAACGCGATACCTGGATCCGAGCCTATATCGCAAACGTCCCTTACACCAGGCATTGTCTGGTAACCAACACTGAGCTGGAAATCACGACCGAGGAGCTCCTTGAAGAGATCCAGGTCTCGACGAAACTCAAGCCTGAAAAAGCACACTTCTCTAGGAAGGACGAAGTCGAAAGGCTAGGCACGGTGACAGCCTGGTTCAAGGCGGAAGCCGTAAGGCAACTACCAAGACGCCTCCGTTTGATGGGGGCCAGCGTTTTTGTAAACCTGCAGTTCCCGAAGGAGAAGAGGTCTCCTCAATGTCTCCGCTGCGGCGGTTTTCACAACGAACGAACGTGCACCAGAAGGAAGAGATGCCTCAAGTGCAGCTCTCCTTCCCACACAACTGATCAACACCGGGCACCCTGCGGCGGCACTGAGGGTCACGATGGCTGCGACTGCCCCTTTAAATGCCCGTCGTGTAACGGGCCTCACGCCGCCTTCGATGCGACTTGCCCTATCCAACCCAAAGTGGTGAAGGGGGTAGTCCAGAGGAGGGATAAGGCTCAGCTACGGGCCATCCGAGCTGAGGGAGAAAGATTATGGAGAAATGCGACCCAGCAGTCGCATCGACATTCCCGTGAAGAAGAACAAGCGATGGACTGTACCCCGGCGAATGAGACACAAAAGAAGAATACAGCCCTCTAAAACCCTGCAAATCATGCAAGCGAATGTGGGCAGGCGGGCATCCGCCCACGAAACAGCACTGAACCTGGCTTACGCAGCCCAGATCGATATACTCCTAATACAAGAGCCGTCTATCCGTTCGGAAGAGAGGAGGCTCACAAGACACCACCCAGGTTTTGAGACTTTCACCCCAGTAGATAACTGGACCGAAGACCGTCCCAGGGTACTTACCTACCTCCGCAGAGGAACTGGGGTACGAGGCGTACAAACACGGCCTCTACCCGATCCATCCACAGACCTGCTCTTCTTACGACTCCTCTCAGGAACGAAGGAGGTCCTCACAGTCATCAACGTATACAACGCCCCTCGTGGCTCTCTGCGATCTGGCCAGGCTCTCAGGAACATCCTAGCGGCCTGGCAACCCAAACCTGAGGATCGAGTACTGATTGCGGGGGATTTTAACTTACACCATTGGACGTGGCAGCCCGAGGCCACGAGTTCCCCGGACGCTGAAAACCTAGTAGAATGGGCAGAAGCCGCTAGCCTTGTCCTAATGTCACCTATAGGTGAACCCACGCACAAAGGCGGCAACACCCTAGATTTATGCTGGGCGTCCAGCAACCTCCATGGGGCTTCCACCAGCATAGAAACGTCACTACACACGACATCAGACCACGAATCTCTGCTTACCCGGGTCCCCTTGGCCCTGATCGATTCACCCAGCCAGACCCCGGGAAGGTTTCGGCTCGACACGATGGACGAGGAGCTTTTCCTCGGCATCATTAAACGCAACTTACAACCCATGCGCCGCACTGCAAGCAACATCCAAGACCCACAGTCTTTAGATCTCCTAGCACAACAGCTTACGGACTGTCTTATTAAAGCACTCACGGCTTCCACAAAGCGCACGCTCGGGAAAGGTACAGGGAGACCATACTGGAGCGAGAGCTGCACACGTAAACACCGAGCCTATGCGAGTAAGCGAGCGATGTTAGCAAGACTCCGCGCAGCCGGAGTGAACTGCCAATGGGAAGAAGAGGAGGTCGAAGCTCTAAAACAGGACTTCCTCTACGAATTTAAACGCTCCAAGGATGCCTTTTGGAAAGATAAGATCTCCTCAGCCTCCTCAAGCAAAGACATATTTGAAATGGTCGGTTGGCACAAAGCCACAGGATCCTTTCAGACCCCGCCACTCCGAGATGTAGACAACCAAGACACGCTTGTCTCACAACCAAAAGAGAAGCGCGACTTATTTACCCGCGTCCTCCTTAGAAACGCTGCAATCTCCGAGGACATACCAACAGAAAGCCCAGTCCTACAAAGGCAAGCTACGCTTCCTTTCCCGCAGGTTACGAAGGACGAGGTACGGTCTTCGGTTCTCACCGCGGGAAACACGACTCCTGGGACCGACGGAATCACTACGACTGCTTTGAAAATAGCATGGCCAGTTATCGAGGATATTGTCCTCTCACTTTATAGCGGGTATATACGCGAGGGTTGGCATCCTACTTGTTTTAAAGAAGCAACTCTCGTGATCCTAGCAAAACCGGGAAAAAGAGACAAGACACTCCCGCGCTCCTATAGGCCAATTGCGCTCTTGGCCGTCCTCGGAAAAGGCTTGGAGAGACTCATCGCCAGACGACTTGCCTGGATCGCAGTTAAACATCGTGTTCTGCACGATCAACAGTTTGGAGCACTCCCTCTTCGCTCTTGCAGCGACCTCATCGCAGCGGCCATCCACGACATCGAGTGCGCCTGGCAAAGAGGCCTGGTTACCTCTATGCTTACGCTCGATATAAAAGGGGCTTTCGACGCCGTGCTCCCAGGACGACTGGTCCGACGCCTCTGCGAACAAGGATGGCCGGAGAACCTCGTACGCTGGGTCTCAAGTTTTGTTACCGGAAGGAGAGCAAGAATAAGGCTTGATGGGGAGGTAGGAGACGTCTTCGGTCTCGAATGCGGACTACCACAAGGCTCACCCGTATCTCCCATTCTATTCATGCTCTATATTAAACCTCTTTTCAAGCTAGGCATAGCTCGCCTAGGAAGGAAGCGATCTCGTTTCGGCTACGCCGATGACGTCGCTATCTTGGCAAGCTCAACATCACTAGAGAACAACTATGACATCCTAACCAAGGAATGGAAAGAAACCTTAGGATAGGGCACGACGGAAGGAATCACTTTTGACCTCGATAAGTCCGAACTAATCCACTTCACTAAGAGACGAAAAGACGGAAACCCATCAATCACAGTAGGTTTGCCGGATGGGAGGTATCATACAGTTCAGGCTATCAAAGAAGGCTCTTCTCTACGCTAGCTCGGCGTTTACTTCGACCGTAAACTCATATTCAAGAGTCACGTAAGAAACCTCTCTACAAAAGCATGCCAAGTAGTCAATGGACTACGGGGACTAGGGAACACTATCTAGGGCGCGCCTACGTACTTACTTCGTCGAGCGATCACCTCTTGTGTATTACCCACTCAGTACTATGCATCTGAAGCATGGTGGCCCGGCAAGAGCCGGATAAAGAATGGACGTACTATCTCAAACGGGGTTGGTAGTCTGCTACACCAACTGGACGCGACGCAAACCAAAGCCATCAGAGCGATGGTCCCCGTATACAGAACGACGCCTGTACCGATCCTACAGCGCGAGGCGGCTCTACCCCCAGCAGAGGTGATACTGGACGCGAAGCTCCACACAGCGTCCACCAGAATCCATCGTCTGGACGAGCGACACCCTCTCCGAACGAGACTCAGGGACAAATCAGGACCAGACTCACGGCTACGACGAATGGCAAGCCTCGTAAGCAAAAATACCGAATACATCGATCCGTTAGAACTCCCCCCTTGGGAGCAACTAGCGGACTGGCAGACAGCCCTCGCCAGGGTCGGCTACGAACCTAATAAGACCAAAGAAGAACAGGCCCTCTCCTTTGCAGGCAGGATGGCAACTTTCTCCAAGCGGGACATTATTGTCTACACTGACGGGTCCCAGATATCGGACGGCAGCAGCACCTCCGCCGGAGCAGGCTGGGTAGGGTACCAAGCTACACGGCAGATTTTCCGCGGATCCGAACCACTCGGCTCCCAAACTGAGGTATATGACGCGGAGGCACATGCTGCGTATCACGGCCTGATAGAAGCCACCCGGGCTCCTACGGCTCGTATGGCAGATAACGTCCACATCTGCCTCGACAACCTCGCAGTCGCGGCTAGACTATACTCCCAGAGCACAGGAAGCAGCCAGGCTAGATTTAGGGCCTTCAATAGGCTCTCTTCCTCCTGGACTCGGAGACAAAGAGAGAGCTGGACAACCCCCGGCAGGGTTTATGTTTGGTGGTGCCCTGGGCACACGGGAGTACCAGGAAATGAAGAAGCGGATGCTCTAGCCAAGGAAGCCTGCAAACTAATCCCAAAATCACAACCACAGCCCTCATTAGCGCACCTAGAAAGGCAAGCTAAAGCAGCTGCCTTCCAAGCCTTTGCCAGAAAATGGCTGTCCCAATGCCCTCGGCAATATGCCGACCTCGAGATAATTCTTCACCCCAAGCCGCCCGAACTCCGCCTCCCTCGGCACTTACTAGGAAGGCTATACGCAGCAAGATCCCATCATGGAGACTTTGCAGTATACCACGAGAGATTCGCTCATCAAGATGCGTTGCTCAACTGCAGCTGTGGGAAACCCAAGACACCAGTCCATTTCTACTTCTGCAAGCGTGGACGCAAGGCTACACCGCGCTACCTCCGCCAACGTATGGCTAAAGCAAGCATTGATTTCTTGTTAGGTTCTGCTAAGGGAGCCTCTCTTCTATGCGAATGGATAGAGGAGACCAATTTCTTTTCCGAAATTTGCCCGAGTCATTGAACAGGAACGTTAGGTGAAGACGGTAGCCTGTAATATAGTTTAGATTAGTATAGACCATGTCGGCATTGCGCCCGGCACGTCCTTTTGTTACCAGACGTTAAATACATCATCATCATCATCATCATCAGATACTCTCCTTAACAAGAACAATAACAACAACAAGAACACCAGATTAACCCAACGATATTGCTACCGATCGCGATACCAGGAATACCTGTGTGACTAACCTGTGGTACACGCAAACCAACAGTATCCTTACGCTACGAGCGGGGCTTGACTCGCCTCACCTTGTAAAGCCCCCTTGGCATACATTCATATCTTACGACGTAGACCAATGTGCAAAGGACGTGAGAAACTCCTTTGCATGGTAAACAGTATCTGCTGTATGGCATTCCTGAATCAACATTGCCAACTGACCTATAGGACGGCAGCAAGCACTTGCGCAACCACATTCAACTTGATGTCAAATCAGGCAGCCAATCATGAAAACCTCAGTGCACCAACAGCTGCCACTCTGCCGTTCGGGTGCGGCTGGATCACCTGCCGCCCTGGGTACTTTGCTCCAAGATGAGGCTGTCGCGCTGCGCCTGAAGAAGGGATCGGAAGAGGCGGGCTATCTAGCAGCCATCTTCCCCCTGCCCAACACGCCCACCGTCATCGTGATCAAGAATGGTGACCTCAAGGAGTACATCGTCGCCGGCACCAGCAAGGACGAGTTCGTCAGACGCGTCACAACCGCATTCCGCGGCGCTCAGGGTCAACCACCAGCAGCAGCAGCTCAGCTCGCGGCACCTACTCCAGCACCAACCTCAGCTTCCATACCGACCGCTCAGCCCGCCGACGACCTGTACGACGAGACCCCGTACAACCCTCCCCGCGCTGCCGCCGCAGCCGCCCCCGCCATCACGGACCCTCAACCCGCCAGGCCCGGCACCTCCTCCCCCAGGGTGAGCGGGGTGTAGGATCAAATAAGACCTCAGCGGTAAGATAACAAACGTAGTGAGACTTGTTGCTCTGTACGCCGTAGGCAACAGACACACCTTTTCATCCATCCATGCATTTATCTCACCAATTATCTATTGATGTTATTCGTCACAAAGATAACAAAACAAGAAAAAACTGCACTTTGAAGAATTCTGGCAAGAGGTCATTTGTCTTACTGCTCGCTGCGTATGCAGCTTCCTCGTCGAGGTACCTCGGCAGCAGGTGCAGCGGCTATTGAGATCACTTATGCCTCACAGCCTTACGTTCAACGAGGCTCCTTTAGGACGTGTCTACCTTAGTAGTAGACAACCGAACATAAAAGGGTGAACTGGGCGCCTTCCCTGTCAAGTTTATTCAACATTTCTACACAAAAAGAGACCGACCAGTGAGAAAAATACAGCTATATTACTTATATTGTTGGTATCGCTATTATAGGGATGTTGGTTCGAACCGTAGGGTCCTGGGGGTGACGAAGAATCAATATCTCTATATTGATTGATTCTGCGTAAGGAGTAGAAGGGAGATTCCAACCGGAGGTTGGGTGGGTAGTCGAGGTCTAAGTGTACCCCCTCGAGGTGGCCCATGCTCTGCCCCTACTCGCGGCCGAATTGGACTTCCAATCCGACAACGAGATATATACGTCTTCTCGATCGTCCCCCACACTCCCCGTTGTACATCTGTTCTGCTCTTGTCCCAAGTCCTCAGACTACTCGAGTGAGATTAAAAACAAGAGAATGAGGGACCGGAAGGGAAGGGTATATATACCATAGAACTAACCAGGAAAAACTCTGTGGTTTAGGCACTTAATTAGGAGGGTGTGTTGGTTGTCGAAAGTCAGATATTGGTAGACGGGCTTACGAGAACACTCAAGCGTACCTTGCTTACAAGTTGCCAACATAAACTACGACTCACTCCTCGCTCACCCGTATACCAGCTTCCTCAACTTTCGACCTTGTTAGAATTAATTGTAATTCGGTGAGCCGCTGGGCGGGAAAACCCGGCTCGAGGAGCATAGTGCCTTGGCACTGCGCTGCCTCAAGGAAATCACCATATCACGCAACGCAAGACGAACGACATTGTCATAAACACGTTTGAATAATAATGTTCTTGTCATGATGATGAAAAAGGAAAAACCCCCTATGCCTGCTTCACTAATACAATCATTCCTACTCATCGTCCCCTCTCTCCCTCAATCTTTCCAAGCCAGTCGACGCCGGCTTTTGACTTTCCATCCTGGTATCAAAAAAGGATTTTTCTCGTTGCTCCCCTCGCCTGCCTGATTCTACAATCCCGATTTGGACCAGTAATGGTATCTATAAATGAACACCCCCGCCTTTCTTCCAACGTATGCATGACAGTAATGAAATGTTTGTGTTTGTATGTGTTTGTGTGTGTGTGTGTGTGTGTGTTTCGTGTGTTTTCCCAAAGTCTCCTCCAATGTGTTTACTGAATCTTGATTGCCTCAAACAATGTGAGACTGAGTGCCGTGTCGTTCTCTCCGGCGTTGGGTGTCGGCTCGCTGAGCATCTCCCATTTGCGGTAGATGAACGGCGTTAGTTTATCGGTGCCTTGCATTGAAATCGGCATCTTGATTCTCTGCGGCCCGTTTGGTTGTGTAGTAGATTGCTGTCTATGAGCAAGCACGAATTGCTCCGTCGGTGGGGGCATGTGGCTGAATAAGTATCGGAGGCGGGCATCTGATGATGCTGGATTCTGCATGGTGCCGCCTGTAAGCAAGACTCGCACGCACTGCAGGCGAATGTCGTCCGGCAAAGTATCGACTAGCAGCAGGGCCAAATCGAAGACCTGTTGGCCCAGCGGTCGTCCATTCTGAGCATCCTGGAATGCTAGGTTGTCCAATTCAAGTGTAAGACCAGACAGAACAATCAGGATTCTCGCCCGAATCTCAAAAGCAGCGGCGTTGGCAGGCGGCTTCATGTTGTTGGCGGCCTGGGGTTGAGTCGCTGCTGGCACAGGTTCGTTTGCAGTCGTGTGCAGCGTGATGAACCGCAACAAGGCAGGGAGCCAGTACCTGAGGATTGAGGCGCGCAGGTCTCTCTTGTTGATGTCGTCGGTTGCCAGGAGCTCCCACAGCTCTGCAAGCTTCTCAACCATACCCGAAGTGAGCTGTGATGTTCGGACAGGCGGACGGCCCCTCAAGATCGCCTCGACTACTGAAAGCAGACTTCCCGCGAGCTGAGTGCTTTCTTGAGAAAGAGGATCCGCAGCAGGCGGGTTCTTGTTTGACGGGAACAGCCCTAGGAATCGCAGATGAGCCTGCTTCTTAAGATGTTCCGTAATGTCCTCGCTCAGGTAAGGTAGCATGCTAGTCCACATAACATTGTTGGCTGACACAGCGCGGTCCATCGCCCTCGAGAACATGTCGAACTGAGTGAGAGCCTGTTCGCCTCCTCCCGGGCTCGTCGTACTATCCGCCGCGAGGCCAACCGATAGCTTGAGCTGGCAGAATGGGAGAGTGAACTCGTTTGCCAGTTCCAAGACCGTCTCGAAAGTTAGTGGTGAGTCGTTGCCAGCATCCGGTAGCAACAGCTTGGTCGTAATCTGTGCAAACAGACTTGTCAACGCAGGCTCCGGGTTCTTGATGCCCAGCGCTTGAACCACCGAGGGAGGATCCCGCAAGACCAAGAACTTGAGCAATTGCAGCGCGGTGTCCTTGATTTCAGGGCTCGCGAGTGGCAGCGTCGAAAATTCGACCACTCCCTGTAGCCTTGAGAACTCGACGAGCGCATTCCTCACGAGGTAGACCACATCCTTGTGGTTTCGACGCGGTGCCACTCGTTGCTGAATATAGAATCGGTATGTCTCTTCGGGTGTCAATGCAGTCTTGGCGGGGAGGGGCATCGTCGTTAGAGAAAGGACTTCCTGCATGTAAGTCGTAGTGTTGTTAGGGGGCATCGAGGGGTTCATCGCGATCCTGCCTGCCTCGACTGATGTCGTGGTTAGAATAATGGGCAAGGTGAGACAACCCATGCTGATGAGAAGGGGGTAGATATTCTCGAGCCCAGGGCGTGTCTTCAACGCGCTGATATGGTGGACCCAGTCAGTCATGCGGACGTCAAAGTGTTGAGCGTCGAAAATGCGCAGCCTTCCGAGTAGTGCACTGTAAGCACGTTGTCTGTCCGGTGACTTCAACCAGCAAGATTCCAGCCGTCCGACTACAGTTTGGAAAAGGCGGTCCATGGTGGGCCGATCGACGCTGGTCCCGCTCGTCAGAAGCTTCTCAATCTCTTCGTGTAGTTCGCCCTCAGCATCCTGTAGCTGCGCCGTCATGTTATCAGATACGGGCGAGCATGCGTCGATGGGGTTGTTGCGATCGCATTGGTGAAGCTGCTGACGCAAGTAGACAGCAGTGTTTGTGTACCCGGGCATCAGAGTCGAAAGGTTTGCCAGGGATGCCAAGAGAGGTCGCGCAGCAGGTCCTTGCTCGTCACTAACCGCTTTCAACCTTTCCATCAGCGCGTCGAATAGTTCCTTGGCCACGCCTAATGCTGCGAAAATCGGTAGGTGAACGTTGAAGGTATCGGCGCAGGAGGCAAGAATCTCGGGGTTGGAAGCCCTTGACACCACCTTGACAATTTCGACGAGAACCGAGTAGTCGGAAGCCGCCTCGAGAACAGCGCGAGCGAAGTTGAACATGGCCGGTGAGATCTGGGGGCCGTTCTTCGTCATAATGATTTCCTTGGTGAATATTTGTAGAAGCCTAGCTCCGACCTCAGTTTGCAACGCACGGTTGCTGTTGGAAATCAGCCTGCAGAGCTTTCCGACTGGGACGGGCTTCCGCTGAAGCATCGGATCTCCAGGCGGAAGAGGAAGTCCCATTACATGCTGAATGCATTTGAGAGCTGTGTTGATGTCCTCGGCTTCGTCGCTGACGTCGTAGGATGCTCGTCGTAGGAGACTCGCTCTTGTGGCTTGGGCAGATGAATTGAGGGCGTGGAGAGGGAGGTCAACAAGCAGCCTTGTGGCGCAAGATCCCTCTGCCTCAGTATCGGCCGGTTGTCTCAGTCCGCCTCGGGCAATGAGCCAGAATATGTACCCCTGAAGTTGAAAGTCTCCTGATCGTACGATTTCCGACACCAGCTGGTGGAAGACTTTCTTCGATCTTGTCTCGGTTGGTGGGCTTGCGCTGAGGAACTCGAGAATAGCTGTCGTCACGTCCACTCCAGCAGCCACCCAAACTCGAAGAAGACTGGCTGTGATGTAGACCTTGGCGGTGCCTGGCCGGTGAGGCGAGGTGCACCACTCCAACAAGGTGCGTACTATCATCCCCTTGTCTTCACTAACAGCCCAACACTGCACAGCCAAGTCGGGGCTGTACAAAGACATGAAGGAGGTATCGAGATGCTTGACAAGTATTTGTCGGTTTGCCGGCTGGGAGTTGCTGGCTGATGCAACTAGCTGCTCGTTTCTTACATTAATCCACTTGAATGCGTTTTGGGCAAAGTCGTTTTCGATCGGAATAGATGCAAGCAGAGCGTCTCTGTGCTTGAACCAGGTCGCAGGAGACACGAAGTTGTCCGAGTAGGCGGATAAGAGGGGAGTAAGTAGAGATGTCAACCTCGTCGATAGTTGGGTGAGGATATCGCGGTCGGGATCGTTATGAATCTGGACAGTCAGTTGCGAACTCCTTGTGGGGTCGGGGTTGACATACCGTGTTGAGATGGCTGAGCAACGCATTCACTAATCGTCGGCCATATCTCCTCAAACGAAGCAAGTCTTTCCAGTAAATTTGTGTTATTAGAATCCACATGGGTAGCTTCGATTGTGTCGAGTTCTCCAGTCCGGAGACGAGCCAATCCATGTAGTGGTCACGGTCGAGTAGCTGTTCGGCATAGAGGTGTGTCGCGAGTCGGATGCTATAGCAAGGTTAGCTCGCACAGATGGGACATCGCATGATTCAGACTTACGCATATTGGACCTTGGCTTTCCAGTTGTTATCGCCAAAAGCTGTCGAGACCCCTTCCACAAACTGCTCCACGAAAACTGTCCAGTCTCTGAGCCACTTCGCCTCGCCACCGAGCACAAAGGGTCCCGGGCCGTTCCCCTTTCTCTTGAAGGCTCGTATCTCGTTGGCACCAACGCACTTGACCAGCCAGACTGCTCTTTCTGTCGGCACATTCTTATTGAGACAGTGGTCCAGCAACACTTTGCCTCTAATACCGTGGGGAATCGTTCGGCTCAGTCGGCGCAACGATATCGAAGGGTTCGCCAAGTCCCTCAGCCACATTTCTCGCTTCGTATCGGTTAGGGTAACGCGCGGCGGCGGCTTGAAGGTCGAGGGCGACGAGATCTGGCCATTCAGCTTTCTCTGATTAAGCACCCCGATGAAAATGTTGGATAGCAAGTTCAGACCGCTCTTATGCTTGAGGGCGGGAAACAATGCAGCCTTGGCGGACTGTGTCTCGACCGATGCCTGCGGCTGTTTGTCGTAGTATCCATTCTTGATAATCGATTCGGTATACTGGTCTTCGGGGTGATTTCCGTTCCACGGAAAGAAGTCGGCGTGACCCATGTCTGGGATATCTCGCGCGCCACTGCTTGAACCTCCAAAGCCTGGTTTGGGAGCCGCGTCGGCTCGCGGCTTGCTAAACGGCGCATATCGGGGGGCGATGCTTGGAGTCTCGATGTGGTACGGTTTCGGTCGGCCATCCTTCTTAACTGCAATGACAGGCGCCGGCGCGTCTTTGACGGCGGGTGGGACGACGAATCGCGGACGGCGTTTTGGCATAGGCATCGGGGGGTTATCTACATCAACGGGCTGGCCCTTGGCCGAGGCCGGCGAGCTCATATCGGTAAGGTTTGAGGTTTCGTTCTTGGGCATAAGGCGGGAGGGTGTGAGAGTCTTTGGGGACTCGCTGACGGCGTGCTGGGCAAGCATGGCCTCGTTGGACAACTCCAGCTTGAGGCGAGAGCCTCCCCTCCGCGGCAGCGTGCCATATCTGTTCTGGGCGACGGCGGCATCGTTGGCATCGCCAGTCAGGTCGATGAGGTTATCCTTTCGAACGGGCGACTGGGGTAGGTACTGGGCGGAAAGGGTGCGTTGCTGGGTTGGCCGTTGGACCGACAAGCCCGAGCTGCTCAGTGTTCGCTGCTGGGGCGGTCGCGGCTGGACGCCCATTGGGGTCCTTGAGGTCATCGCAGGCGGAGATTCCGAGGCGACATTGCTATTTTCTCAAGAGATGATCGGTGTTGTATGTAGTTGAGAGGCGCGATGAAGTCGAAGCGCCGAGGCTGCGATGCCGAGTGCCAACGGGTTGACGATGCTGAAGTGATGTTGGATGGAAGGGGGGAGGAATAATCGGTCGACGGATTGATGTCGGGGATCTGACGGCGTCAGCCGCGCTATCTGTGCAGCGGTCGGGGGTGCAAAAGCGGTTTGCGGATTGGGACTGGATTAGCAGGCACTGGTAGGGTGCATGCAGCGGTGCAGTGCGCAGGGCCCTTGGCAAGCCTGGTACGGTACGGAGTACAGCGGCGGCGGATTTGCAAAGTGCGCATGGGATATTTCGTACGGCTACGGATACAGAGACGGGGGGGCAGTATCTCCGAAGGTTCCCGCGTATGCCAGGTTCGCTGATGTCGGATGATTCGCGACGGCCTGCTGGAAATCCTGCTGTTGGCGTGCGCTGGTTGCTGAGACTGTTGAAGGTTGGAAGAACCTCTGCTGTTGTGTCGTAACTGTAAATTACGAGTGCAAGGCGAGGAGACAAGTCGTATGGCGATGGGTGGGTTGCATAGAGCAAGAGTTAAGATCAGGTAATGTGAGTAAAGTCAGGAGGCAGGGAGCGGAGAAGCTCGTGGTCTAGGTGAGAGTTAGGTTGTCACCAAAAGAGTTAACGATGGGGGAGATAGAACTCGGGAAGGCAGAGAGAGGGAGAGGACAACAGAGAGAAGGCGCCTGAGAGGGTGTTTGAATGTGACAGGCACAGTCGCCGAGGTTTGGGGGTACAATGCAGGCAGAACGCAGCGCAGCGTGGTGCAGGGGACCATTAGGTAGACGGACGGCAAAGATGGCTCGGGGTTAAAGTGTGCCTTGGCTCAGCTCAGCCCAGGACTGAGCAGTGAGCAGTCACGCAGTAGTGAGGACCCGACGAATTCAATCCGACCGAATTCAGGCTAAGGATGGGGAATGGGAATGGTAACTGAAAATGGGAAAGGCAACCACCACAAGCAACCTGACAAACACCTTGTGCGGGTGCTGGTGGACGGAACGGAGAGTGGAGGGTGTGGCGTGTGATACGGGATGAGATGGGAAGTGAAAGGGGGGTGTGAACTGAGAAGGGGTTTGGATGAGTAAGTGAGTGAAAGTGAGTGGTGAGTGGTGAGAGTGAGAGGGATAATTAGCGGAGTGAGTGAAAAGAAGGTGTCGGGTGTGTGAGAGTGTGTGGGCGTCCAGGGAACAACAGCTAAATTGCTTTTAGTCGTGGGGCGGGAGCCGATGGGATCTGTGGTTCCAGGGAGCGGGAGTTTTTCTCTCAGTCTGTTGCTTGGGACCGGGAAGGCGACTTGGGGGAGTGGGCTTGTTGGATTAAGCGCCTCATTCACACTCTGTGTTTCCGTACGCCTTTGGTATTGTGTGTGTGAGAGAGTTATTGAATTGGGACTTTCTCCGAGATGGACGCGGTTCACGGACATGTCCAGGCTCATGAGTGCGCCGAGTTGCGGGAAGCTCCCGATAAGCGCAGGGACTCGTTTGAATCTTTCTGCACATACTTTCTGCACCGATACGGATACACCGTATTCATGATAGGTAGGTAGTAAGACCATTGTCTCTGTGCAAGTTCCAGCATTGCAAACTCGGAAGCCGACCCGGGCTCACCAGTTATTGACTGGGAACATCTGTACGAAGTACGGATACTTAGTACAGAGTTAACACCCACTTCTCAGACCACAAGTTGCAAACAAGGACTGAATAGCAACGTCCCGTTCTTGGCTGAGGAAAAAGAGCAGTTTGATGTTTCGGCATAAAGTACGGATACGCGGCAGGCTATAAGGCGGCAGCTGTAGCGAAAATCCGGCGGTAAAAAAAAGACGAGGCTGGGGAGTTCATGTGTTGCAGCGCCAGCAACACAGTAATAAGAGACTGTGACTTTGGTCTTTTGCCAACTTGCAAACCGTAACCTGAGACTGGTTGCACGATGAAGAATTGGTAACGATGCGATGTAATGAGCTAGTAATGGAAATCGGAAGCTTCCTGCGAACAAATTATCGACGACCAGGTCAAGGTGGCGCTACACCCGAATGGGCAAGGTCGCTCTTCGACCAGCTGGGGGAAGAAGAACACACACCCCCCCCCCCTTCTGTCTCTTTTTCTCTCTCTCTCCTCTCAGTCCCCTGATGCCAATGGAACCTCGAAAATCCGCCAGTTCAAGGACAGCCTCCGTCCACTGCCATGGGGTTTTGTCCGTCTCATTGGTTTGTTCAGCCAATGTCTTACAGCTGATTCGCCCACTCCCGCCTCCAAGTCCTCTCTAATGTTTCCGCCCCGGTCTCGTTTCCTTTCTGGTCTTGCTGGCTTGTTCAGTCCCAAAAGGCATGGTCAGCAACGTACTGAGATGTAAGACAATGATGGATTATGGATACCTCTCATCATTATCATTATCATCATCATCGTAAGCCCCCTTTTGCCTTCTCCAAGCTCCGTATCAGACTTGCATCCTCGCGTATAGACTTTGGCAGTCATCAAAATAACCCGAAGCATGCTAAATTAGACAAGTGTCAGTTCGCAGTCGATGCTGACAAGGACCGGGCCACCGCTTAGTAAAGACACTCACTCTCCCGTCTCTTCCTACTACGGATACACCACCTTGACCACCTTACCTAATGTGATGTCTGGATGTACCTGGAGTGGGCAGCACGCAGGAAACCCTGACCGACTAGGGAACCCAAACACCCGGGTGTCCCCTTCGCCCAGCTCCAAATCTTGCTTCCTTCGGGGTTCCATACCGCTGGAATGTCAGAGCTCATCACGCATCGCCAGACGGAAGGGCGGAGAGAGGAAGCCGGAATAGGCTGTTGGCAACTCCTTAGCCGCACTCGGTCCAAGACCCCAAGACAACAACTGCTGCTCCTATCGCCCGGCCTGGCCTTTACTGCCCTCTTACCCCGTCCAATAGAACCAAACGTCCCTTCCATGGGCAGCTTGTCAGTCCCTACCTAGGATCTACACTTGGGCAGTTCGAGCTTTCGCAGAGTGGCAGGTTGGTATTCGTCTCCCTAACTAACTGCCACTTGCATCTTAGCTGCCACTTTCGGGTGCTTCGCTCCAACGCCACCATCCAACCCAAAATCGACAGGACGACGCATCATCGCCCATATCAACTCATTCGCTTCGAGCAGGTCTTGTCTTGCCCTCTGTCTCTTGCATCTGATTTGTCTACAACCCCGTGTGTTTTGTCTCATCCCCCCCCCCCCCCCCTCTCTCTCACCGTCCCATCAGCCCGCTCTCCCGACTCCCGAACAGGTGGTGAGGGACAAGAAGAACAGGCCCAACTCTGAAAATGGTAGACGATCTGAGCGAGCGGCACTGCTATCCGCAAAGGCGGCCACAGATTCACAGCACCCACCACACCCGTTGACACAAAGAACCGGCCTACCTTTTCCCGCGTTTCGTCCAGACTCTCCGGTCTCCTGGGACATCTCTCTCAGTCTCTGGTCCTCATATCCCCGGAGCCTTTTCAATCACTGGTTCAACCACTGATGGAGGGGCTATAGTACCCTTCGGCTTATATCGAACAGCATCCCGGTCGACTGTCCCAACTCTCCTTGGGGTAGACTCCTTCTCCAGGCCCTGGGAAAGTTTGTCTTCGGCCGGCGAACCAAAACGTGCCAAACCACGCCCGCCGGTCTTACTACACCAGACCAGGCACCGGGCCGCCGTGGCACCGCGGCTGCTTGGTTTGCGTTGCGCACGCTGCCCACGTCTTTGATGGCTGAATCGCCGCCAGGTGTCACGCAATCTGCCATCATACTGCATGCGATCCGCCGCTGCAAATCAAGTGGTACCTGGCCGGGGTAGCCACTGAGAAGCCGCCGAACACCTGCCCCAACACAAGAAAAAACACACGATGCTATCGGCCATCTCCTTCAGCTGACACAACCTGCTCTCGTGTGACCTGGTCACCAACACTCGAGACATTTTCTCAAGAGGTGTGCGCAATCATACCTGGTCGGGCGCCGTGCCTGACTTGGTTCGGGCTCTGCTGGTGCTTTGTGGACTTTCGCATGTCAAACAGACCCATCAACGATGCCAGCTGGAGGCCTTTCGTTGGCTTTTGTTCTGTGTTCCACCACTCTCCAAGACTCCTCTCCAGCGGCATCCACGTTTCGTAGAGCCCAGCTGGAGCTGTCCGGCCCTTATTCGCCAAACGACACCTATAATCTTAGGCTTCGTGTCGCTGCGACCAAAGCCTGCGTCTCGACGGCTATTTGGGCAAGCACGGGCCACGATGGTCGACATTCGATAGTAGGTAGCAGTTTAGCACACCGCATCTCCAGACTCCAAGACCATTTCCCAACAATGCCTAGAGCCCCAGGCCCTAGAGACGTCGAAACCTCCTTTCGAAAGTTCCAAGCGAACTCCAAAAAGAGTCCAGGGCCCTCCTTCCTCTCCTGCAGGCCCCGTGTGGGGGAATAGCTGTGCCTGCAGGGCAAGACGGCCGCGGCCTAGCTGTTATCTCATGCTTTTTTGCTGCAGAGGCCCGCATACGGCGATACTTTCCGCGCCAGATAACGGAGGGATTTCGTAAGGGTGACGTGCAGGCGCGCAAAACGAAATGCTCCGGCAAAGCCATGCTGCGAATGATTGCCACGGAGAAGACGCCGGAGTAATATGCGGCTGTCCTGCTCTTCTCCTTTTTTTTCATCTTCCTTTTGGACCCTCCGTAGGCCGCATCTTCCGAGGCCCCGCAAACTTCGGCCCCCCAGAGTGTCCACGTCCCAGAGTCAGACATTTCGGGATCCTGTCGTATCTCGCCTACGGAGTGTTGGCACACGTTGGCAATGTCCAGCGGAGGTTATCCGTACTGCAGTCTGTAACCTTTGCCTTTCTCCAATTCCCGGGCGTAGTAATACTCGTGAAGTCGAATTCGGTAGCGGAACGAACACCATGGGAGGGTTGAGCCCGTCGGCCGGAGCGTCCCCTTTGGCTTTGCACTGGGCAGACGGCGATCCCCATGTGTAGTATCAGGTTCTGGAAATCCCGGGCACGCGAGTGAGCCTGTCGTTATCGGAATCCGCGACCCTCGGAATCTCAGCAACTTTGCTTCCCACTGTCAGATCGGTTCGTGGGGCGGCGTTCGGAGGGGCCGCTTGACGGCTCGCGCGCGGACACACCCCCCCCTCCCCCCTTCCGGGAGAAGGAAAAGGGAGGGGGGCGTGGATGCAGGAGAAAACGTGTCGTCGGCTGAGTGTGTGCAAGCGGGGCGGGGCAATCGGCCGGCCTTTCCTTTCCTTCCCCAGCTCTTTGGGCCTTGGGGTCGCGTATATGTCTGCCTGGAGACTTAGGCATCACATATCTGTTGGAGGTGCAATTGCGGCCCGTCACTCGGGGAGAGCTTCATTCGCGCATCCAGGACGTGGTTACCCATCGACCCGAACAGCCTCCGCCATAGCTCCGTCGTCCCACATCTCCCCCTTTTGTACAGCACATCCGTTCGACAGATATCATAATGGCGTCCAAGCGGGATATGCGCCGGCCGGACCTGAGTATGTTGGACTCCTTGTCCTATCGCGAGTTGCTCCCCCTTTGCTAACCTCTGCTTCCGCGTAGTCGTCCCCTATCAGGAGCCCAAGGCCAAGGGCGACTCCACCGAGCTCTCCTCGACGCTGTCCTCTACCCTGCCAATGGCTGCGATGCTTACGCGCAACAAGTTTATCGGATGGTACGATGTATTTCCCGTTCACATTTGACGAGATGGAAGCGGTTCTGGTACTGCTGCAAGCTGCGAGCTATGGCGACAAGCAACCACATTGCCGATATACATGGGCTTTGGTTAAAGATCAGGCTTACTGACGGGTTAACAAAAACAGGGCTTCCGTCGTCTTCAGCATCCAGACCTGGCTTGGAGAGAGCGAGGAGACCAAGAAGAGCTCCGCGACGCCGGGGTACTTCTCCGTGGGCATGTCAGGTATGTGGTATCCCCTTTGTCGCAATTACCATGAGCTCGGTCACTAATGTTATACGACAGTCATGGCTCTCGCCGTCAGCTACCTGCCCCTCTTCCTCCCTCCTCCCGCTCAACGAGGAGGCGCCGCGACTGGCACCGGGCCCGCTGCCCCTGTCCCTCCTGCGTGAACACGATGTCCACATAACGAGCTGGGAAGAGGGTGGTGTAGGAGTATGTCCAATATCACATACGGCTGCAACATGAGAAGGTGTACATGGGCAGTGTCTAGGAGGGCATTTTGACGAGTCGATGATGGCGTCAGGGGGATAAAGCATGGTGGAAAATTGTAGTATAATACCTCTCTTGGAGAAAACCTAAAAGCGGGCGGAAGAAACGCCACGCGGTTGATACTCAAAAACTTAATAGCATCAAGTCGAACATATCGCATCGCAAACATTATGCAATATTGTCCTCGTGAGGCTTAGGGGGTTCAGATAGCAAGAGGGACGTTATCGCGTTGTGCAATTATCGATGCAAGGGGTGCTCGTTTGATGTCGTCATATGCGACCGACCAATAACCGGCTTTCATTCCGACTGCACTTGTGTACCTTCACATCCAACTTACGACTCACTTACAACCGCATCATTCACTCTGTACACGTTCGTATTTCTCTCAGAGTTTCGCACGTCGTTCCAGTAGGATCTTTTACGTCGTCTCCAATAGTGGAAACTCGGCATAGTAGAGAGAGGCGCGCAATGGCGTCTTCGATAACCGAGGCCTCGGTCCTCGCTGCCTTTGACGAAAAGGTGCGGGATGGGATTGTGATGTACGCTGAGGATATGGAGAAGATTTACCATGAGGATCAAGGCTTCAAGGTATTGTTCTCTCCTTTCATACTCTATTTTCATCATTGAGGTTTGGGCGTAATTAGAGTGTTTCTTCGCCTCTTTCTTCGGACTTGATGAGGATGGATAAGACTGGCGGTAATAGCGGTTAGGACGGGGAAGAGGAAAGGCTTCAAAGCCAAGATAGTGTGGGAATTACGAAACAGAACTGATATCCTTCCTAGTTTGAGTTTCGTTTGACGGCTGCGTTGAAGAGTAAACCTGCCGCGGTGGAAGACAACGCGGAGCTAGATGACGCCGATGATGAAAAGGGGCCTTCTCAGACAACCTCAACCTCAACCTCAACCTCAACCTCAACCACCACCGCAAACACCGTCACACCCTCACACGCCAACACACATACCAACGACACCAAGCACACCAACGACAAAATCACCCTTGACGAGGAAGGGAACCTCCCCGGAGGCGACATCAGCATCGCAGGCTTCGAGCTCACGACCATCCCCAGCGGCGGCGGAGAAGGGGATGAAGAAGCCACGCATGTACTAGCCTTCAATAAGTTCTGCGCGTATAGGCCGCATCTGCTCCTCTTGACTGCCGACGGGAGGAGGAGGCAGTTTGAGGGGTTGGATAAGCGGGATCTCGGAGCTGCGGTTGAGGTTTTGGGGGGGTTGAATGGGGGATGGGGTAGTGATGCTGATGCTGATAGTGACAAGGAGAAGAGAAGACAAGAGTATCTTGTCATTTTCAACTGTGGTAAGGAGGGCGGGTGTAGTCGGTTGCATAAGCATATGCAGGCTATCCCTGCGCCGGATGCGATTCCCATGTGGCCTGATCTCGTCGACTCCGGGCCCAAGACGGAGGCGGATGACAGTGGGAAGCAGCAGCAGCAGCAGCAGGAGCCGCCGTTCCGGTACTTCATCCACCACTTCACCGGCCCATCACCACCCTCAAAAAACGACCTCACTGCGAGTTACAAACACATGCTCCGGCAGGCGACGGAGCTGATCCCCGGCCGGGAGAAGGTGGTGGAAGAGGACGGAGATGGAAGGGCCGTGGCGGTGCCGCATAATGTTATCCTTGGGAGACGGTGGATTGTTGTGGTTCCGAGGGTCAAGGCTGGTGTTGATGGGGCGGATGTGAATGCCGTGGGGATGTTGGGTGTTGTTTGGGCTTCGAAGGGGGAGACGGTTGGGAAGTGGAGGGAGTTGGGGGCGAGGAGAGTGCTTGGGGAGGTTGGAGTTAGGAGATGATGATGGTTGAGCTTTGTGGGGGATGGTGAAATGGGAGGTTTGGAGGGGACTCGGGGTAGTTCGATGGGCTTGAAGACTGTGGATTGTGATGGTCGTTAGATGTTATAGAGAGATTGATAGACAGACAGACGTGAAGTGGCGTGGAGTAGAACTTGGGAGTCAGCAGCTATAGATAAACGAAGACTCTATTTCATCATATGAGTCTATTCCGTAGCCATAGCTTACGGCTCTTCTTAAGACTAGAGTTCCTTCTGGGTTGGTGATTGGCATTGTGTTGGTCTATACCGGTCCAAGATCGAGAAACCCATGACCGTAAAGGCCATGATTTTCAACTCCATCCTGAATTCTAGGTAGCTTGAGTCGGGGATCGTCTGCGTTTTCTTATTATAAGCTATTTTAGACATTACATTCGTCATCATTCAGCGTAAGTCAAGAAGGGCAACGCATTCATCTGCCATTGAGACACCCCCATGTGCCCAGCCCCTCTCAGGGAGTACCCACCTCAGTAATCATTCGCAGTAGACCCATACAAATGCTCCCCCGTCTCAAGAACTTCAACCTCATCACCGACATGGACATATAGCCCCTTCCCTTGCCTCCTGGCCTCATCCAGGTCATCGTCCTCTGGCACGCAGTGCATCCCGAGGTATCCCAATGCCTTGGGGTTCCCCGTTTCAGGGGTGCGGTGCTCAATCAGCGTTGTGCTAGGCTGTGGTTTCCCCTTCTTCTTCTCAGCGGACGCCGGGTTTTCAGTGTCGAAAGTTGCTGTTGCGAGGTTGACGTTTGGCATTGTGCAGCGTGAGGTTCTGCAGACGACGGAGAGTTTTGATGAGACGTCGGCCCGCGGCCTTCGGGGACTTGAGAATTCTCCCTTTGGGATGATGCGGTATCGTTTCCATGTCTCTTCCACGTATGCCGGCGCTCCGGTAACCCATAGATTCGCGCGGAAGCGGAGGGCGTCTAGGGGTCTATTCTCCGGTGGTAGTAGCGCTGACACGGCGTGGACGGAGGATAGACTGTTGAGGTTGACGGGCTGCTGGTCTGTGTATCCGTGGACGGCGGGCGAGCCGATGTAGCTCACTGGCGCGAGGTTGAGGGTCGTCCGGGTCAAGGTCTCGGATGTGCATCGTGTGAGCGTCAGGCCGCGGTTAGGCGGGATGGATAGGAACTTCTTCAGTTTGGGGAGAAGGGTTGTGGCGACGGAGGGGATGCGGGACATGTCTAGGCCGGATGCGTCGCGGGCGTGGATGCCAAAGGTTTTGAGACCAATGTTGTACTCATCTACAAGGGTTGAGGGGGGATTCAGGGGCACAATGAAGGAGACTTGGGGCGTTGCGGAGGGGTTGAAGGGGTTGGAGAGGAAGGTCTCGATGCGCTGGGTCCAGGTTGGGGGATCTGGGTCGGAGAATGTTACGAGGACGCAGCCGCCGGCTTGAACTAGGGGGTCTCGCTGGTCGCTGTTCTTCCTCGGGAGGTAGATATCCGTTTGGATGTGGCACATGTTTGGCTTTGTGCGCTGGCTGATGAGTTTCCAGGAGACGGAGCCCGTTTCCGGGTCGGGCGTCTCGGCGGCGAGGGCGAAGCATCTGTCGTATGCGAAGCCTGTCTTTGTGAGGAGGGCTCTGTCTACTTCGATGAAGCCGCAGGATTTGATCGGGTGGATGTAGATGGACTTGATGCGGATCGGTCTCAGTGTGACCGAGGGAGTGTCTTCTGGAAGGGCATATTTGGGGTCGAATTGATCTGCCATATGGCTTCTGTTGCCCGGGACGCCTATGGACTCCAGGTTCCGGAGCTTCCTACGGGTGGACGCAGCGTCGCCATTGTGGAGGATGAAGACCAAGGTGACGGTGACTGGGAGGAGGACGGCGACGAGGGCGTAGACGATGGTTGAGGCCCGGAGGTGTTGGAGAGACCCCAGGATCTGGAGGAGCATCGTCTCGAGTTTCCTTCCCTGGAGCAACCCTGGCGGGAAAATCGAGTGGGTTGACGGCTTGTCTTCTAAGGGTAAGATCTAGCGTTGGATCCGAGTCTCGGAGTGATTTGGAGGTGGGAGATGTGACGTTTAAACTGCCTTTCGGGCCGCCCCACTTGTGGGGTCCCCTGCGTTCCCCCGATTGCGACACCGGTCATTGAGCCGGAGCCGATGCCGACGCCGGTTCCACTTAGGCGTAACTTACCACTTTCGGTGAATCTCGAAGGGAAAGGCGACAGGTTACTGGCTGATGCTTAATTATTCTGACAAAGAAACAAAGATGTGGTTGGGTTGGAAACGCTGTTCTGGAATTTTTCAAAATTATCCCTTCCCTTAGAGGTCTAGCTCCCTTCCGCCCGGGATGTCAGTTGCAGGGCGCGCTTTACGTGGAGTGCATATGTAGAAATATGGAGGGTGACCCATGCTTTTTTCCCTATGGAGTCTAAAGTTCTGAACAACTTTTATTGCCTTAGCCTTTGGAGGCGTAGGCCTCGATTGCACCTACCTTTAGGGGAGTGAAAGAGATTGTTGTCGTTGCTTGAGTCACACTGTCACTTTGCTGCGAGGGCTATTTATTCCTCTTCATTTCCGCTGGTCCTGAGGAGATGATTTCTGTTCAAGATACAAGTGACATTATTCAGAAATCGAGATACGCTGTGAACGATGGCTCTAAACCCCGAATCGCCGGCGCAAAACGAGGCCTCGTCTGAAGTAGTCCAAGGCATGGCACCGAATGACGCCAACACCGCCGAAAACCAAGACTCGAAAGTCGAAGAGCATAACCCAAGCATCGACGATATGGAACCGAATCCAGAGGATGAATACCCCGAGGGCGGTCTGCGAGCTTGGTCCGTCGTGCTGGGCTCCTGGTTCGCATCCTTTTCGGCCCTGGGCGTCTCGAACAGCGTGGCCACCATCCACGCCTACATCAGCTCCCACCAGCTACAAGGATATAGCGAAGGCACCATCGGATGGATCTTCTCGATGTACATTTTCCTATGCTTCTTCTGTGGAATCTATATTGGTCCCGTCTTTGACAAGTATGGCCCGAAGTGGTTGATCTTGTCCGGCACTGTCTGTGTCGTGACGGCTCAGATGTTGTTGAGCATTTCTACCCGTGAGTATACAAATTGTACTATTTTATAAAACTTGAAGAGACGCAGTCAGCTGACAATGATCGTCGATCAGAGTTCTGGCACTTCATGCTCGCCTTCGGAGTCCTCAACGGCATCGGCGCCTCCCTCCTATTCACGCCATCTTTCGCAGCCGTCGGACACTGGTTCTACCACCGTAGAGGACTCGCCACAGGTATAGCTTCTACAGGAGGATGTTTTGGAGGCATCATGTACCCCATGATGCTCCGCGCCCTATTCGAACAAGCGGGTTGGGCTTGGGCAATCCGAGCCGTTGGCTTCATTGTCCTCTTCTTCTGCGGGGCCGCAATACTCCTCATCGACAGACGACTACCCCCCGATCTCAAAGCCTCGGTCCATCCCAATATTCGCATCCTCCGAGACCCGGCTTTTGCGTTGACTACGCTCGGCATATTTCTTATGGAGTGGTCAATCTTCATTCCTCTTACCTATATATCGAGCTATGCCATCCACAAGGGCTTCGATGTCGACTTTGCCTATCAAATTCCCACGATCCTCAATGCTGGCAGTGTGACCGGACGTATCTTGGCAGGGTGGTTCGGTGACTTTGCTGGGCCTTTCAACTCGAACATTCTAGCTCTCGTGCTGAGCATCATCGCTTGCTTGGCCGTATGGTTACCGGCAGGTTCCTCCATGGCGGGCATCGTCGTCTTCGTGGTACTTTTTGGCTTTGCCAGCGGCAACAACATTAGCATCAGCCCGGTTTGTATTGGGAAACTCTGTAAGACGGAGAGTTATGGGCGGTATTACGCAACGGCATACACGGCGGCCTCATTTGCCTGCTTGTTTGACGTGCCTGTAGGTGGGGAAATTATTTCGGCGCAAAATGGAGAATATTGGGGGCTGATTTTGTTCACTGGTCTTATCTATGTTCTTTCTCTTGTTTCTTTGATGGGGGCTAAGGTGGCTCGTGTTGGATGGAGACCTTTCGCCATCTTGTAAATAAAGAAGGCCACTGCAGCATGTGTTAGGCTCTCAAGTTCGATGGTTTTTCAACAATGGTTCAAGCCACTCGATTCTCCATCATGTTGCACGATACATCATGAGTCAAAACAGACACTGATATTGAAGTAGACTTATTTCTTTTGCGCGTTGTTCGAAAAAGAGTTGCATCGCAAATGTAGTCATATTGAGAGTGTTGGTATCCCTTTCACAGGGAATTTGGTTCGAACTGCAAGGTCCTAGGGGTGACGAAGTATTAATATCTCTATATTGATTGATTCTGCGTAAGGAGTAGAAGGGAGATTCCAACCGGAGGTTGGGTGGGTAGTCGAGGTCTAAGTGTACCCCCTCGAGGTGGCCCATGCTCTGCCCCTACTCGCGGCCGAATTGGACTTCCAATCCGACAGAGAGTAAGTACAGTCTATTGCCGTTAAACGGCCTTAAATATCTATAGAAGAAAGAAAGACAGTGAAGTATTGCTGGTACCTTAGTTTTTGAGCGCATGAACAGCCATGTACCATGATTGGCTAGGCTAAGGAAGAGCAGGAAATATCAATAGACCCAAAGCTAAGGTGGTGTTGCGGTCCCCACAGAATCTACCGGTATCCCACCGCATGAAGTCTTAGCCGCGGCCCGTCTGTTCAAGCTCAAGAGCTGCGAGCATGTTGCAGTCTACTTAAACGTAAATCGCGCAGCTGATGGGACCGCGGATGTCCATCAGATCCGCAATAGTGACGTTAGGCAGCTGTCCAGCTGTCCAAAGGTTGTGGGCCATGGTAGTCACGTTGCCGCCGTTCTCGCCATTGTAGTCCAGGAGGTCAGCACCAGGGTAGTCGAGGTTGGACATCGTGAGGAAGGCGTCCGAAGCGACCACAGGCCCTCCAATCTCGTTGAGGCGGGTGGTGAGGTTGACGGACTGCCACTCCCACCACAGTCGGTCGAGGTTGGTGTGGTGGAGGAAGAACAAGGGGTCACCGGGACTGGAAACGACATCCAACATCTGGTGATTGCAAGAGTCAGTCAAGATATGTCAGTATCGTGGAAGATGAGATTTTGACTCACGGTGCCGCCGACGCCCATGTGGCCGGCAAGATGGGGCGCCGTACCCCAGCAGATCCACGAGTCGACGTAGGTATCGATGGCCATGCATTCGTTGACGTAGGTGCTGTTGGCCTGATAGAAGCTGTCCTGATGGAGATCGCGGGTCAAGCAGAAGTTCGCATCGCTGCTGGTCTGGTTCAAGTGCATCGTCAAATTCACAAACAGTCCATCGGAAACACAGCCGTTGTCACCGTTCTTGAAGCTTCCGAATCCGGTCTCGGCGTCGAAGACGGTAGACTGGTTCAAAAAGCCGGCCTCGGCGTCCTCCAACTCGTTCCAGTAGGGCTGGCCTCCTTCGTAGCCGCACTCCGTCTGGAGGTAGACCTCATGGACACGCACTGCGAAATTGCTCGTTAGTTCTAATCCTCAAGCATGATTCAATAAAATGCGACTAACTGTAAAGTCTATGCCAAGGCAAGAACGGGCCGTCGTTGTGGATGACGTTGGCCTGGTAGATGTGGGCGTACATCATGTCATCCCAAAGATTCTGTGAGCCAGCGACGCCCAGCTTGGGGGCCTTGTTCATCAAGCAGAGCTCAGCATCGATGTAGGCCTTCTTCTCGGTGGTCGTCATGGCAGTCCTGGAATAAGATTTTGATTAGAGAGGCAAGCTGAGAAACCCGAATCCGACCTAACATACCAAGACTTTCTCTGGTGCAGCGAGGTGCACTCAGGGAATTCCTTGACAGCTGCCCTCGTGGCGCTCGAGTTCGACGAAGGCAGCGAGCTTGCCACGGCCATGGCGGCCGCACAGCCATAAACAAGGAACTTCAAAGAAGAGGAGGACATTTTTGCTTCTCTTGTAAGACAAGTGATGGGATGAAAGAGTGAACAGATGATGATATGGAGGAGCGAATGTACAAGACGTGGCTCAGTATTTTATATCTCAATTCCTACCATCATTTAGACTAGCAGCCTACTAGTCTCACCTTTTCTCGGTGTTTTCTGACTTGACCTGCCTTCAGCTTTTCCATCTCTCTGACTCAAGAGTCGGGTAAAATTTTAGGAGAGGTCATTACGACCGATATCACCGAGTCTGATCTCGAACTTAACTGTAGCTGTTGGGAGGCATTGCTTTCTTGAGGCTAGAGGTCACAGAGAGTCTCAGCTCCGTCCCGACGTACGCCACATAACGAAGGATGTAACTCTGGGTCTCACCAAGTAGGTGGAATTTTTGAATCCTATCGCACGAAGGAAAGCTTCCGTCAGTGTGGGGGGAAGGGAGGTTGACCAAATCGAGCTTGCAATTCCGGTATGCTTACTGATCTCTAGTTCTCTACCGTTGGTTTGGCCCACTGAATGTGGCAACCGAGGAGTTTAGCTCGTTTAATCAAGCTTTTCATGGTAGCTCTTTATTAAATGCGGCCCGCGATGGAGCTCCGTCTCCATATCCGTGTGTTGTCCCATCGGATCCGAGCGACTCTTCGTCGATAGTCAGAATGCAGCCCGTCTAAGGATTGCTGGCACGTAGTAACTGTCAACTCAACGATTCTGAAGGCTTTAGAGGCTAATCTTTGAGCCATTTCTTTTAGAGTATTGATTTCTCTTGTGCGAAAGTTTTCCATTGCAGGAGGAAAGTGCAGGGACTGAACATTTGAACCAGAGAACCGAGAAACCACGTTGATCGAAAAACTGCAATTAAGTGTCCTTCAAACCGAGGCAACATCTCAGTGCTCCCTAAGCTTAGCGCAAGAGTATCTTGACGGTAACGGACTCTCCGTCGTCGGAAACTGGTACAGGTTATCGACTTTTCAACCTTCTCAGCTCTAGCCTCCGGGACTAAAAGAATCGCCACATAGTACTAACCCCTACTCACCCCACCCCGCGCAAGTCAGGGTGACGGCGGGAAAGACAAGCACGGGAAGTTTGTAAGTAGACATTCCCTGGAATGGTGTTTGATTCGTTAGTACTGTATCTAGACCCATTTACTAGACTCCTAAGAGTTGACACTTGAGAAGTGGTTAGAGAAACGGCAGCGTGTCAGATACATGTACTCACAGGTTCGACTTAACATGGGAGTATCCCAAAAGGGCTGAATCCGGAGGGTCTGAAGCTGAAGAATGCGTCTATTCAATGGTAGCTTCTGCATGTAATTAGTCTACGTAGAAAATCTAGTGTTGAATAAAGCTCTTTCTTAGGTGACTGGGGTTCAAATATGCGAGGGCCTTAGTTGATGAGCCCTTGGCATCGAAATACTTGACTCCACGATGGGTTTCTCACACGTAGAAAGCTCCAAAACGTGACTTATCTTTGCATTCGAATTTCCATCTGCCAAGGAGGTAGCAACTGTTTGTTTGGTCCAAAAGTCGTGGGCCACGCGTGATCAGGCTGCGGCTTGATAAGCCGGCAAGAATCCTCGTAAGCCTGTAACCCCTCTCGTACGGCTGGGTCGTCCCCTCGCACATTTATCCCTCTTGGTCCACTTCTCCCTCGTCGCTTACCCTGGATCCCATATCATCTATCTGAGTTTACGCTAGTTTTCAGTCGTTGGTGTTGATGTTGTAAGGATGAGGCGCTTCTTCCGAAAAAACCGGCACAAAGACCGCGACAAAGCCGAAGCCCGGCCTCGAGAAGCTCCACAAGCGGAAAGCTCCACAACCCCGACCGCCGTGCCTCAGCCGACTGCGTCGACGAGCAAACAAACAATGGTTTCCACCGCGGCAGTTGCGTCAAATTCAAGCTCAGGTTATCCAACAGGCATTAACCTGTTACATGATCCGGCTGAAGAAAGAGCCGTAGTTGAGTAAGCCACGCGTGCTCGTAGTCTTACGCTATTTCTGGCCCCTGCTGACAACTCTTCGAACAGCATCGTCTTCGTCCACGGGCTCAAAGGCCACCGCGAGAAAACTTGGACTGCCGAAAAATCGTCTCAACCTTGGCCCAAGGCACTACTCCCATCCGAAATACCAAATGCTCGAGTTCTGGCATATGGATACGATGCAGATGTGGCTAAGGCTATGGAGGTGGTCTCGGTCAGTCGCATTCGAGACCATGCTGCGACTCTGCTGAAGAGACTCACAAATTTCCGAGACCGAACTGAAAGCGTGGGTCGTCCCGTCTCCATTTCTCAAGAGTCTATCTGACGTTCATAGTCTGCACGACCTATCATATTTGTCTGCCATAGTTTAGGAGGACTAGTCTGTCAAGCTGTACGTGTCAAATATTAAACCAGTGATTATAGCTGCGGCGCTTAGGCAAAAGCCGATATAAGGTACTGGATACTAATAACATCCTCCTACAGGCTCTTGCCCAGCGCAGCATCCCATCCAAGCCGAATCAATCAATCAATCAATCAACCAATCAATCCAAGGCCATTTCCCCATTCAATCAGACAAGCCTACAGCGCCGAAAGCTTGGCTGACTTGATCAAGCTAACGTTGCCCGGAAAAAGGAAAATCCGGGCTCCAGAATAATCATGGGTTTTGAAATAATTTTCAAAAAATGAAAAAAAGTCCATTCGCGTATGTTACGGACGTCGAGTTGGTGATGCCCTCACGTTAACAGGTGGCCAAGTGGGGCCGGCACTTCCTGGCAGTACTAGCCTGACTGCTAGGTCCTGCCAGGAAGTGCCAGTAAAACGCGCTTTTTGCTGTAAGGCTTAATTAACGCGTTTTTGGGCCCCTTGCAAGGAGTTGAAAAACGGGCTTTTTCGACCCCTTCTGCCAGCCCTTGAAAAACGGCGCTTTTACGACGTCACCACTGCCCTCGTTGACGACGCCGTCAATCCCTCGAAATCCTACCTATACGCCATCGTCAACGCCTTCTTCAACCCTCAATCCTTGCCCTGATGCCTCTGCCGGCCCGCAATCCACGTATTGATCACTTCGTCGGCCGCGAGGCCTCGACTCCTCGCGGGATCGCCGCTCAGATTCGCGTGTAATCTACTGCTGCCAGCAACGCGTCGATAGCCGACCTAGCCACGCGCAATACTCTCGACGCCTTACCTTACGCTATATGGAAGGGCCGGCGGTTCGTTAACGTTGACGCCATCTCGAGGAAGGGTAACCGAGGCCGTACCTCTTGGATCACAAACGAGGGCATCTTCGTCTACGAGATCCTTGCCAACGGCGTGAGGGGTAATGCCTACTGGGTTTGCCGACGCTGCGACGAGGCAGGGTTTCTAGACCAGCCCTTCAACGCTAACGCCACATCTGCTGCTGCCAGGCATCTCGAGAACGAGCACTCCATCTTCCGAGGTGGCAAGAAGGCTGGCTATACGTCTTCTGATGAGGCTGACGACCCTGGGCCTCCATCCAAGCGCCACCAATCTCTTCCTATCGCCATACCTAAGCGGACAACTACCCAGATCGAAGAGCTTGCTGTGGATTCCTCGTTGATACCAGCAACCTCTCACAACGTTCAGCAACCAGTACTTGCAGCACACGCTCAGCCTATTTAATCACGACGTCAACGCCCAGATCCGGTGGTCGAGATCTAGCCAGAGGGAACAACTTCGACGACTCTACATATCCAAGAAGGAACAGATCGAGACCGAGATACAGAGGGCAATCTCGAAGATCCATATATCGTTTGACTTGTGGACCTCACCCAATCGATACGCTATCGTCGCCATCTACAGCCACTTCATCAACCAGTCGGGTAAACAGACGCAGTACCTCTTAGGTCTCCGCCGCCAACCTGGTGCTCACTCTAGTGAGAATGTTGCTACCACGATACACACTATTATGAAGGACTGGGACCTACTCAACAGGATTAGTATGACAGTCTCTAACAACGCCAGTACTAACAACACTTGTATCAAGGCTCTCTACCCATCTCTATCACATTTATATACAGAAACTGACGCTGAACAACGTCGAATTCGATGCTATGGCCACATCCTCAACCTCGTTGGCCGTGCCATCATTCATGGCGTTGATGAGGAGGCATTTGAGGAAGAGTCTGACCGTCTTATTAACGCTGGAAGAGTGAAAGAGGACCTAGCCTACTGGAGGACTAGGGGTCCAGTCGGCAAGCTCCGGAACATCGTCAAGTATATCAGATCATCGCCACAACGTTCTGAGAGCTTCTTAGCTATTAGTAACGAGGCTGCTGATGATGATAATGCCTTTACTCTGTGGGAGGAATCGTCACAAGAGCTGAATCTGATGTTGAGTAACACTACTCGATAGAACTCGACATACAACATAATCAACCGGGCCCTACTCAAACGCACCCAGATCAACGGTTACGTATGCCACACTCTGGGCCTCGAAAATGACGAAGATCATGTCCTAAGTGAGGATATCCTCACTAACGAGGATTAGCAAGTCCTCGTCGAGTTGAATAAGGTTCTCGAGCCCCTCTATAAGCAGACCAAGAGATGTGAGGGCTGGGGCAAGGGTGACGGGCATGGTCGACTCTGGGAGGTTCTGGCAGGCATCGAGTATCTCTTGGATCGACTCGAGGACTGGCGCAAGCTCTACGATACCCCTACTACCGAAGAGATTAACCTCACGGCTACCCAAGTATCCCAAAGTCTTTCATCACAGCTATCTCGACCAGCAAGGGCATCGCATCGATCTGCCAGAACGCCAGTCTCGCAGACCCCATCAATCAACAGTATCCCAACTCATACCCAGTCTGACTATATCGCTACTTCGCAGCAGCCGGCGTGGTGTAGTGGCATACACCTGGCAAGGCCTCTGGAGCCCAGAGGTCGCTGGTTCGATTCCAGCCGCCGGCAACTGCTTTAACTACCTGTGGGAAGGGTAGGGCAGAGCCCAACGCGGGGCCTAGGACCCTTTCCGGGCCCTCGCCAGGGTTTTCTCATATCCACACCCTCCGACCAAGAAAAAGTGGATATGCGGCGAGTACACGTCGTCAACCAAGTACTGGGGCAGGAATGGTCTTGTACAAATCAGAACATGTACGAGGGTCCTGTTTCGGCAGGCCGCCCTCTCCAGACATATCCGGCCTTAAGCCGCAAAAATTCAAGAATGGAACTGGGGCACCAGCGGGAACCAGGGACAGATAGAACTCATAGTAGCCATAAGGCACGATTTGAACCGTATCTAGCAATAGTTATAGGGCGACGGCTCTCCACGCCATATACCCTTCGGGAGGTCGGCGGCAAGGGCGGCTGCGCCCTTGCCGCCACGGCGTTAAATATAACACACACACACACACTATGTAAGGTTTGATGCCTAGTTTTTCGTATCAGCGGCAGTGCGTCAGCTATGATGGCTCCGGACGGCCAGCTGATTTATATATATCTACGATCTGGGAGATATGTACGTAAGGTAAAATCAGTCTATGACAGACGAGGAGCTACAGCCGGTCCAAGCGTCCAAATGAGCCTGGATGTTACGTTGTGTTCTGAGTGTTGACGGATGGCTTGATCCCAGCACCTTCTCCCTCAGCTCGAGTGTCTGCCGATGCATCTGCTCTGCCTCGTCGTACTTCCCCTGCCTTTCGAGAACGAGTGCCAGGTTGTTCATGCTGACGAGTGTGGAGGGATTCTCTGGTCCCAATACCTTCTGGCTCAGCTCGAGTGTCTGCCGATGCATCTGCTCTGCCTCGTCGTACTTCCCCTGCCTTTCGAGAACGAGTGCCAGGTTGTTCATGCTGACGAGTGTGGAGGGATTCTCTGGTCCCAATACCTTCTGGCTCAGCTCGAGTGTCTGCCGATGCATCTGCTCTGCCTCGTCGTACTTCCCCTGCCTTTCGAGCACGCCTGCTAGGTTGCCCATGCTAACGAGTGTGGAGGGATTCTCTGGTCCCAATACCTTCTCCCTCAGCTCGAGTGTCTGCCGATGCATCTGCTCTGCCTCGTCGTACTTCCCCTGCCTTTCGAGAACGAGTGCCAGGTTGTTCATGCTGACGAGTGTGGAGGGATTCTCTGGTCCCAATACCTTCTGGCTCAGCTCGAGTGTCTGCCGATGTGTCTGCTCTGCCTCGTCGTACTTCCCAAGTAGAGTATTGCTACGTCCTATTCTAGACAATAGGTCACATAGCACCTTATCGTCTATGCACCTATTCCGCACTTGAACCGTCGCCTGCGCATGCGGCAGGTAGGCCATCCAAACTTCCCTATTATCGTGCTTTGGCCAAGGAAACCTCTCGCAAAGCCAGTAAATTGTCTCTGTTACCTGCTTTTCTTCCTTCCCTTGCTCCCTTAGCCAGTTACGCATCACTAAGCGCACCAGTCGATGGATATCAAATCTATCCGCAGTATCCCGCTGCAGAATGAAGGCGTAGGCTACCAGCGTGCTTATCGCTTCATCGGCATTCATGTCGTCTGTATCCATTCCGTCCTCTTCAGGGGGCAGAAGAGCTCTTGGGATATCTTTCTCTGCAAGATAACACATGTAACTGAGGTATTTTGCTGCAAGTGGGTTATCTCTTGAGACGTGATCAAAGGAGATCAGCCACGTTGTGGCCACTGGGTTCCGAATATCCTCGTATCGATCTTGGTCATCGAAGTCCTTGCTCAACAGCTTCACCAGCTTATTGTTACTAGCCTTGCAATATCCAAGGTATTTGGATACAGTTACGTTTTTGTTAGAAGACATGTAAGCCGATGCCTGTCGTATGGCTAAGGGCAAGTAAGCGAGGTACTCGAGCAATTGTGTCGTGCTTTGACTGTCGCTAAACTGGCTTTCATCTAAGCCTTTGCGCAGGAGGTTAGTGGCTTCCATGGTATCCATCTCTACTAGGCGCATAGGGAGAGTACGACTGAATCTTGCTGCGGCCTGATGGTTTCGCGTTGTAAGCAGGATAGAGCCCTTCCGACTAGAGGGGAGATAGCTCGTTAGCTTGGAGCTTGTAAATAGCAGTTCTGTGTCGTCGGCGTTATCGACGATCAAAAGCCAGCTGTTAGAATTATTACGTTCCAATATAGCCTTTACCAAGCCTTTGATATCTGCCTGGTCATCCTCGATATCTTGGATATTGAGCGCCCGGCCGATTTCACGATATGCATTCTCAAACATGACTGTGTTCACAGCCGGAACCCAGAAAACGGAGCAGTCTGGGTGTGCATCGCGAACGCGGTAGGCGGCTTCGATCGCGACCTGTGTTTTGCCAATCCCCCCAAGGCCTATAATCGCCGTCCTCTGACAGGCGTCTTTATTAGCACTCGGAGGTATCCGCTCCAGGAGCCGCGTCAAGATCGCATCTCTGCCAACAAAGTTTTCATTTCGTCCAAATGGAACGATGAAGTGGGGTTTCTGACAAGCTGGCAGGTTTTAGACTCTTAGCTTTTAATCTAAATACACTCTACGTGCTGTACTTACAATCCTCTGGCCTATCTAGACTGCTAGAAGTTAACGGTGGGATGGTGTTTAGCAGCTCTTTAGCGTATGCTGCTGCCGTCGCTGCTGCGTAGGGTTGCCACTGCTTATTCTTGTGCGCGTCTGCGTAGTCGCAGATGCCACGGATGACAATACAAGGGAAGTTGTTCATCAGACCGGCTGCCTCCATCTCAAAGCACAAGACGCCTCCTAGCTCGTGACTGTATCTGTCGCGCGTCTGACCATCCTTCATTACCTGGTTCCCAGATGCGATGTTGCCGAAGAAGAGGACCGGGTCTAGTGTTGTACGTACGTCCCGGTCCTCTGCGTCTTCTGGACAGCATTTCGCGCATATAGCTCCGGCGATATGTAGCGATGACGCGTTATAGAGCGTGTCTTTTTCAGGGCCTGGTGATGCGAACTTCGGTTGTGTAGATAGTTGTGACAGGTGTGTAAGGACTTGTGTCTCGCCCAGAAAGTCACTAGCATGGAGCTTAGTCAAGGCGTTGAGGAGGATCGTTGGTGGCGCGTTGAGGCTGCCCGTGCGAGCAATACGACCATCAGCTCCCGTCTTCCCGAAATCGTACTGGATCACTCCACCGTGCTGCCCCGCTGGCTGACTGATGACAACATCGCCGAGTCGGATGTCGATGTCGTTGTCGAGATTAGGAACGCCGCCGCCGATCCCGACCAGAACGCCGAACCGGAGCGATAGAAAGCTGATTTTCATCTGGCTAGCCACCGTAGCTGCTTGGTTCGTGCCCATTTGGCCGGCGGGTAAACATGCAGCTACGACGTTGTGGACGCCGATTCGGCCGAAGGAGTAAAGGTTAGAATCGGTCGGCTGGGACGGAAGATCGGCGAATTTCTCGTCCATCATCTTAGCTGCGGCTGCCAGCTCGATGGGCAGAGCGCAGATCCAGCCGACGGTGAAGTCGCGGGCGGGGACGGACTTAGCCATATCACGTCAACCTCAGTGCCGGATGCTAGCAAAAGGACAGTAGGGCAAAACTACGGGACGAAGTGGGATGTAGTAGACAACGTATCGTTGAGCATTTACATTTTATGGAACTACTATGCTCCCGTCACGACCGCATGGTGCGAACAGAGAGATATGGTCTCAGCCTGGCCGTGAGGGGTCAGACGTGGCATGGCATTGTCGCAGCCTGCAGGACCAAACGCCAGTCAAGATAAGCACTAAGTGCTGATGTTTGCGTGATTGGCTGCTGGTTGCTCCAAGTGTTGGTATTGGGGTGTCCAGGAAACGGCAACCCCGTTTCTAGTGCAATAGCGGCTAAGAAGAGTTCCATGAATTGCGAGTCGCATGACCCTCCAGGACCACTTCAGCCGATGAACTCAAAGTATTATCTTTGTTTTCGGTCACGCGATGCTGTTTGGATTGCCGATCTCCTCTAAATGAAAATGAACTCCAAGGTTAAAGATACCCCAGATGCCACTACTATCTAGGCTCGCTAACGACAAGATTGTCGCACGATAGATGGCACTGGCCAAATATAATATTTTCAACAGTAAGAACGGGGCTTAAGGCTATAGCCACATGACGGCGTATCTCGGTTCGGCCCGCTCCAATCTTGTTGAAGGGCCCTTGTTCATTAGAATTGGGATGATGATCTTCAGACGATCGAGGGCAGAAGGCAGGGCGGGGAAACGTGGAGATTTCGAACATCGATTGGCATCACAATATGAGGGGCCATCTGGAATCAGCGAAAGCGGTGAGATTGGAGAGGTGGGGTGATTGATTGGAGTGAAATCTCGAAACCAATTGATTGGCTAAAGCCACCATCCAACTCCACTAACTAAAGGAGAAACAACTATCTTCCGCGCAACCCAGCTAACAGCAGTAGCACTACGAACCCCATCGCGTCGCCAACTAACGGAAGTGTTGGAACAGCAAAGGCTGATAAGGAGTAATAGGCAGGTACCATGGGCTGGCTGGCACCTGCCCTGGGCGAAGTGGGACAACTGGCTTAGTCATCACGGCCGGATAAAGGTGGGGCAACCACCCAGGCCGTCACTACCTACTTCGACCGACTCCTGCCTACAGTGTAAGATAGAAATAACAACAAGAAGAACAAGCAATAGGATCACCAACAGACGAGTGATAATTGCTACCACTATTTGTCGTATACGACCCCGTGAACCAACAGGATGATTCGCGACTTCCTTTCCCATGGCCATCGGATCCTCCTGCAAGACGTTCACAATTCTGAAAAATATTGACCACGTCTAACCTGGTACTGAAGAATTCATCAGCCCAGCAACAATTCAGTCCCATTCACTACCACTGGACTTCCTCCGGCAAAAAGAGGAGGTACGGTCTTCGGACGGGTTGGAGACATACTCTTTGCCGAGAATTGACTTGACCCGGGATTGGTACACCTACTCACTTTCCTTCAACTCAGACGAAAGCCTGTTTTCCTTCGCCGATTATCGTAGGCCTTATCTTACGAATGTTGCGATGTTTCGTCTACACAAATCACGCAGACTAGGGCTGAGTGTGGAACTCCTCAACTTCGCAAAAGGCAGAATTGGTCCGACTGTCTCCTGTCAAATATTTCATCCAGGCCGTTCCTTATTACGGAGTCTAAAGTTTGGACCTGGTTTTACACCCAGAGTAAGTGCCGGGTGCGTAGCTTCGCCAGAATCTAGGCAAACAGTAAATCTAGAACAAGAAACTGGGAGTGCTAACTATCTTCAGGTTGGTCGGAAATCCTGAGTTTGAGCACTAGATTCGATATGTGCTGCATGGGGAAAGAGTCCCATGAGCTCCCTTGGGACTCTCCCCATTATAGATTTCACGTGGCAAGTTGTGAAGATACCAGTATCTACTATTCGCCATGCGGGGATTGTCTCTTGGCAACACCCAATCGTGGTCTCCAAGCTATCGAAATCCCCTTGAAGAGGGACAGTAGCACGACGCTAGTTGGCGTCGATGGGAAACCACAATCCTCGCTAGTCACAGGCGATATCGCTGCTGGCGGCGATGAACATACGAGTGGAACAGCACACAAGATGTCAGATGGCCGCCCGGAATTTCAACAATTCATGGATACCCCCTCATTCCTCAACTCAACATGTCAATCGAGACGGCTGGAAACGATGTGGTAATTTCCCACACATCTCAGAGCTCTGTTTCTCCCGAGTCTAGCATCAAACTTCAAGTTCTTAGTCTTCCGGAGTCCTTCAACCCAATCAATACCAAAGTCAGCATACAGTTTCTAAGAGGCCCGAACGAGCATGTGGGTATTGTAAGGTAATCAACAAGACCTTGTCACAAGCTTATAGGATTGGTGGCGAATCAAAGACATAGTTTCCGATTCTTGTGGACAGAGCAGTCCAGCCGATTGAAAGACACGGCGCAATTGTTTATCTGTTACCTAGCAAGCAGGTCCTACAATCACCACACTCTGATTCGTTGTCTGATAATATGCCAGAAGTCGGCCAGAATGACCAATTTAGGGTGGAACAAGGATCGGAAAGGGAGTCGAAGTGAAGAAAGGAGGTAGCAGATGAATGATGTTGTTGACTTTCGCATCACGATGGGCTTCTAGCCTTCTGTATTGTTTGTATAGGAAATAAACACGAATCAAGGTGGCTGCGTAGTTGTCAATCGTGTACATCTTGATACCTCTTTTTGTACTTTACTAGAACGTGTCAAAATTCATACCTCACGAAATCTCAAGCCGTACCCACGTTACCTAGGTAAATTACAAAACCCATGTAATCAGAGACTTTAGAGGTTTCACATATTTGATTACGCAGGTCCTTCTGTCTACTTCTTATTGACAACCAGACTATGAACGTGCCCAAAATGCCACAAGTTTAGAAGCCTACATTACCGAACGGCAAAAGATGTCGTACAGATTTCTCCCAACGTAGGTATAACGTACTGAAACCTTGGGTACTCTACTGCTGACAGTTTCAAGCGTTTAGCAGGAGACGCTTTTGTGATTGTTGGCCGACTAGGCCTCAATTTTCTCTGGGGCCTGCGTTCAGACATTGCCTGTATCAACAGGACACAGACCAAGCTTGCCACTTCCCAAGCTTAGAGCTCGTCAATCTGTAACAGCGTCAAGAAACATTCAACAAAGGGTTCGATGTAGGACAACTCACTGGACACATCCGTCCTGGACCTGATCAACACGTTGCCAGTTGGTAGGATCGCTATTAGATGCCACGCATCTAGCAAGTCCAGGCTGCGTAAGTCGATCCGTGAAGATGTCGATCGTGCAGCCTCCAAAAACGATATTAACGCTCTTTGCGTCGTAATTGGCGTAGCTCTTGTTGATACTGGTCATGGTGAAGCACTGGGCGAGGTGTTCGGTTCCGGTGTTGGAGCCACCGCCGTAGTGAAATGTTGAACCACCGGCGCATTGGTCGTGGTCGTGGAATGTTACTGACCAGGCTGATACAGCGGTTACGGCGGAGAGGAGAAGACTGAGCTTCATTTTGGAACGTACAGTACGGTGATAGGAATCAAGTGATGGTATTAGTCAATTAGTTAGGAATAGAGGGATAAGCGATGACTCTGGCTTGGCGAAGCTTGGTTTATGTAGTGTCCCTGGCGACGCGCGCGTACGAACGAGCATCTAGGGCGCTTGAGTCTTTCCATGCTTGTAGATCAAGAACTTGTTGAAGTCACGCATGTTGTTACAATCATGAAAGTTTTTCTAGTGTACTATCTGATAGATTGCTACTTGCTCGTGTTCATCAAGTTGCACGGATAGTCGGCATGCTTTGAACATGGGCTGGGCGGGGCCATTGCGAGCTCACCTACTAATGGTCGAGGTAGTAGTTGTCAAGACTCATAAGAGTTGAATCTTTTTAGCGACTGCAAAGTTTAGAGTTGCGGGATGACCGAGATTTGACGCGAGCTGTGCGAGTAATTCGGCTTCTGCTATCTGTTATAGGGGATTGGTCCCCGAAACCGAGAGGCGTAAGGGGCTTGTGCCTGACTCGCCCTCTTGTCAATACCAGCATGTCCAGAGAACCACTGAAGGGGAGTCTTCGACCGAGAGAGTTTGACAAATGTCACGAAAGAGGTATAGCAGTGGATATCTCAGGGGTAGAGATAAGGGGTAGATAGGGGTATGGGCATACAAAAAGGGCTCCCTCGAGGGCTTCCCTTTTCCCCTTTTCCATAGTTGATTAGACCACAGTTGAGATCCCGATTTCCATGAGCTACTCTATATGCTGATTCGTGACAACAAACCACTATGGATCTTTGTCAAGAGCGGATTTCAGCATACATATTACGGTAGGTTGTAACCATAGTCACTCCGGACACATCTTTACGATCTTAACCAATTGAATTCACTCTGTTTATCTAACTCCTATGCTACTAGCATCTAGCCCAAGTCTCCTTGGTCGATTCCATCCATCACTTCGTTCTACCGGCTATCCTAGCCACGGCCCTCCGGGCTACTTACCACAGTGGCACCACCACTTGAACTTACTATCAGCTTCGCGTAACCCGTGCCTCAAGGCATCACTCTATATCCACTCACGTCAGCCTCTTCTCGGCTGTAGGATATAACCCAAGTCAATCTTATTGATCACGTACCTTGTCGACGTTGCGCGGCAACATAATGAACCAAGTTCCATTCGCCTCCTGCTCACCTATATTAGCTTTCCCTCTAGTTAGCGGCTACGAGGTCAGTCTCACCCTGACCCTCCAGCGTCCCGCCCCAACAATCCTGTTGAGTAGTATGCCTAGTTCCGCGTTTCCCAACCGCAGTGCTCCGCTTAGCCTAAAGACTTGCCACTCTACCCGGTGGAAGGTTCCTGCATCACCCGCTCCGTTTCTCACTCCGCTATAACAGCTGGTCTCTACCAGACCCATCGCTTGCACAGCGCTGTTTGAGAGGTTTCCGACTGCCCCGTCGGTGAGTCCACCAGTCCCCAACTGTTGGTTTGATTCCATCCTTTGGCCTGCCAAATAAGTATAGCGAAGAAGAGAAAACCATAACCTGATGGTTTTAAGCCTCCGTACCGGTCGTTGCTCTCACAACCCTTTGGTCCGAATCGCTCCGCTGATCCGTATGTGTTCAAACGCATAACTCAAACCCCAAGAAGACTTACCTCGTCTTTAACTAAAGTAATCTTTGTCCCCCGGGACTCTAATCGCAGACTCTCGTCTTCCCTTCCTAGGTTATATAAATAATAAGAGAATACGAATAAACCCGTTTATTCCACTGGCGGGCAGTGTATGGGTAGCTTCAGTCCCTCCTGAATGCCGTACCGACAAAAAAAAAGAAAAACTGAAGACCAAGAGATCTATCTCTCTGTATCCTCCGGGGTGTCTGTCGACTTTAATACTCTCCGAGTCTTGCTGCCTGCTTCGAACAGTCTCCCTCTCGGTCGTTCATTGGGCGCCCGCACCCCGTTAGCCAGACCCACCTCTGTCTGGACACGACTAACCGTATCCGGTTAGATTAACAACCTCCACTGCGTCCCTTGTTCCCGGTTTTACTCCGAAAAAGGCCGTGCTTTTTCTTATGTCATCATTTCGGCTTGGGCCCTGGGCCATCGCTCGAAAATGTCTACTAACAGACGTACACCACTTTTTGCTGCGCAAGTGGTAGTTGGGCCATGGGCCATCGTCTTTCAATAACAAATTATAGAAACCGGACCCCGGTCCGGAATGAACGACGACGGGCGGCCTTCGGCGACGAGGAGCAAAGGGCCTCCAGCCCGCACAGTAGCGAAGCGCAAGCAAAGCGCAGGTGTGCAACACCGCAGAGGAGCGCAAGCAAAGCGCAAAGTGGAACGCAGGTGATTTATCACCACAGTGCAACGCAAAGGTCTACCAGACCGCATCATAGAGAAGCAGAGGTGATTCCATCACCGTAGCGGAGCGTAGAGGCCTCTCAGGCCGCACAGAGAGCAAACGTAGTGAAGCAGAGGCAAGGGGGAGCGCAGCGATCCCGTAGCTTGAGCGTAACGCAGTGGGGCTTAAGAAGAAGCTATTCAGAGCTTCATTGTCAATTCACATCACAACAGTATGGACTGGTTCACTCCGTTCACGCGTCATGGGGCTCTGCCCCATACCCCCTTTCCACATCTTGGAAGGAGTCCTCCGGAGGTGAACAGTCAATCAATTTAAGTAAGGAACAATTATAGTCAATTAGAATCATTTGGGCAATAACGTTCTCTAAAGAACAATATTATGGTCAAGTACACTAAGGTAACCACATAGGCTACAACATCACGATACATCGTCACCAAGTAAGTAAAACAAGTACATCCTGTACTCTTCAATTCCATTCTCGTATCTAACTCGTTTGCCGGTCTTCTCCGACCGTTCCACCCTCTCGGCTAAGTTTCTAACATCTCACTCCGTTCCTATAAACGTATACTTTACCGCCGAGCCTACTAGAAGGCTTGCCCTATTAACAAGTTAACTACGGCTTAGTAGTCACTCTGTTCCAATACCGGTCTCACGACCCCCATTACATGACTGATTACGGTAGGCAGGGCATTGCTCGGTAATAGACCTATCGCCCCCCTCTCCGTGGAGCGACAAACGCATCCAACACGCGTTGCACCATAACAACCAGTTGCCCACATCATCCAGATGTTTGTGAGCCTTCGTAAGAGCGTCCTCCCGCTCGTCAAGCCAGGCTAGCGTACCGCCCGACGGTACTACTTCAACATAGCAGGTGCCGCCCCAGTCGGCCAACCGTCCGCTTACTTCGCGAACTAAATCGGGCTTCCAGCCACTACCATTCCCGGCAGATAGCCAGACAAGTGCGCTGCATACGGGGTCCTCTGACCCGAGTGAAGTATCCTCAAGGGCAATCCATGCCTCACCTTGCAGTGCGTTCTCCGAACAAACCAGTCGTGCCAGTCTATCTAGGCACTTACCCAGATCCCCAGGACTAGGAAATAATAAAGTAGCCACTACATCTTGTCCTTCTAAGATTGTAAGGTATTGTCTGAACGATGCCATCGTCCAATGCTCTCGCCTAGCTCCTACTAGTTGCGCATATAATGATTGATCCTCATTATGGAACTCTAGTTCTTCGGACCAATCCTCTGACCCGATTAGGGCCATCTCCCTCTGGCACTTCCTCCTGGAAGAAAAGAATAAATTAATAAAAGAAGACTCTCGCTTCTCTATTCACTACTGTCCCGGTAGTTACTATGTCAGCCCATTACCCGATGGTACTGCGTGGCTTATGATCGACCACCGATCACTCGAATAACTGAAGATAATAATAAAATAAACAGAAAAGGAACTATCCTTTTTGCCGCCGGCTTCGTGGGCACCAGTGCCTTTAAATAAAACTCCCGTTTGTCTTGCTCCACATCGCTCATTGTGTGGCTGCCTGCCACCCCACAGCAAAGACTCCACTCTTTGTCTGCACAGCACTAACCATTTCAGGTTAGTCTGACAACCTTCCAGTTCGTCCCTCCTTCTCGGTTCTACACAAAAAAAGTCCGTGCTTTTTCTTACCTCAGCGGTTTGGGCCATAGCTTGGGCCATCGCTCCAAATCCTTCTACTAACAGGACGACACCAAATTTAGCTGCGCATTTGGTAGTTGGGCCATGGGCCATCGTCTTTCATAAACAAACTATAGAATCCGGACCCCGGTCCGGTATGAACGACGACGGGCGGCCTTCGGCGACGAGGAGCAAAGGGCCTCCAGCCCGCACAGTAGCGAAGCGCAAGCAAAGCGCAGGTGTGCAACACCGCAGAGGAGCGCAAGCAAAGCGCAAAGTGGAACGCAGGTGATTTATCACCACAGTGCAACGCAAAGGTCTACCAGACCGCATCATAGAGAAGCAAAGGTGATTCCATCACCGTAGCGGAGCGCAAAGGTCTTTCAGACCGCACAGTCACGAAGGTGCGAAGCACCGTAGGGATTAAAAAGAAAACTTTTAAGAACACTTATTGTCAATCACAATCACGAACAGTATTAACTGCCTACGCTGCGCTTCGGCGTCACGGGCTCCGCCCGTACCCGAGTTTCACATCTCTACTTCGGTCCTCCGGAGGTGGACAGTCTAGTGGTAGCCGGGAAGGCTATGGGGAAGTTTACATTTGGGCATTAACTATCGTATAAGCCTAGCTATCATCTGGAGTTTAATAAACATTCGTACTTAAGTATACGGATTCACTCAAAGAAAGAATCACATCAGTTCAAATCAGACACAAATCAAATTCATTCTATTTCTAACTACTACGTTCAAACTACTCTAGGGCTTCACAGCATCTTATGGCGGAAGGTTAAGGTCACCCGGAAACTCTGCAAGTTTCCAGCAACTCCGCTGCTACTACCCTGCTCATTCTTCAAACCAGGTACGGATATCTCCGTCTTCGGGCGCACGCCCATGAATAGAACAGAATTATAATCCAACTTCAGACCCGTCTTCGTTTCCCCAACCGCTACCACAGGCTGGTTCAGGGGCCAATACCATCGAATAGTCTTCTTCTCCATACAAGAAGCTACAGATACCCCCACGGGGCGCACTCTGACTTCCACCGCAGACCTACCCCGGTAACTGGTGAAGGGGTTGCCACTGCCAATCTTGGTCTCACAGACCATAGAACGACTTGACTTGTCGCTGTGCATGGGAGCACCAAAAAGGCTTCCGTCCCGACTAGGTGCCTCAAAAGCAGCTGACGAGAGTTCCCTCACTCGAAGGTCGTCCATACGACCCAAAGCAGAAGGGTTACCGTACCCAATCTGATACTTCTTATCCTCTAGCTGAAGAGCCACTGGGTTAGGCATTTCCAACGCCTTGGTGATGTTCATAGCAAACATCTCAATATCCGCATTAGCGAACACGTCGCCTTCCATGGCGATGCCAGTAAGCTGAAGCTTCAACACCCGTCGACTAGCCATATACCCGCTTAGCATAGAGCTAACGGGAACTTCCCAGTAGTTCTCACCCTGACGATCCCCAGACGCAGAGAACGAAGTCGGTATACCCTGTATAGAATAAAACACCACGTTTGTAGCTTCTCCTAAGCTATGGGCTTTTTCTAACGCTTCCAAGCGCTTTGCCGTGGCTCTGCCTCTTCCGTTAAATCCCTTCATCCTCGTCCTCTTCGGATAGCTACGCTTCGCTCGAACATTCTTCTTACGACGACCGTATCCAACAGTCGGCCTCCGGTATCCCTTACGTACGAAACCACCCCGTTCGGTTTTGCGATTATAGTACGCCATTACTGCTCGTAGTAAATTTGTTTCTTACCAAATTAAGTCACCACTGGTGGTACGGGCATGTCTGCCTTTAATACTTTTCACAAGCGTCTCCCTCTGGTTCGATCATTGGTTGTTCCTCAACCGTCCATGTGGGCCCCCCCACTTGGATAACAATCTGCTGAGCTCAGCAGTCTATGCGTTCCACTGCCTCCGTTGTTCCACTTTTACCCCAAAAAATCAGAGTATTTTTCTTACCCCGCGGTTTGGGCCATCGCCTGGGCCATCGCCCATAAACCTTCTACTAACAGAGACGCACCAATTTTTGCAGGCAAATTGGTAGTTGGGCCCATGGGCCATCGTCTTTCATAAACAAACTATAGAATCCGGACCCCGGTCCGGTATGAACGACGACGGGCGGCCTTCGGCGACGAGGAGCAAAGGGCCTCCAGCCCGCACAGACACGAAGGTGCGAAGCACCGTAGGGTAAGAGAAGGTATGCAATACCGTAGCGTAAAGAGAAGCGTAGCAAACGCAGGTGATTCATCACCACAGTGCAGCAGAAGCGGAACGCAAAGGTCTTTCAGACCGCATTAAGAGCAAACGTAGTGAAGCAGAGGCAAGGGAGAGCGCAGCGATACCGTAGCTGGAGCGCAACGTAGTGGGGCTTTAAAGAGAGGTTATCACGACAAGCATTGTCAATTAACATCACAACAACAGTAGTTTTAATTTCGCTACGCTCCGGTGTTGCACACCTCTGCTACTAACAGACGTACTGCAAATTTAGCTGCGCATTTGCTAGTTGGGCCATGGGCCATCGTCTTTCAATAACAAGAAGCGTAGCCAACGTAGGTGATTCATCACCGGAGTGCAGCAGAAGCGGAACGCAAAGGTCTTTTTCAAGCATAGTAGATCTAATCCTTCTGTCTTCTAAAGTACCTCGTAGATTATTGAGAAATGGTATCAAGTCTAAAGATGCCGTTATTACAGCTGGGAGTTGTGTGTTCTTATGCTACGCGTAGAAATTTCATCTCTCATGTGACTTTGTTGCTGAAATATTCGAATTTGCTTGAGAACAAGCCACATGGGCAGGATGGGCACAAAGTAGACAGGACCGGAACACAGAGCCACTGTGGAATGACTTGATGCAAAATTACATGGATTCATTGTCGTATACAACAGTGCTCTCTCGCCAGAGTGAGGAATAAGTCTCTAAGTGTTCGCCGACCTAAACAAGGCTAAATTCTTCAATGTGAGCAGTTCCGGCAGACACTACCTCGGACATTTCTCCCTCCATGAGACCATATACATATGTATCCCCAATAACTTGGTAAGCTTCTCCCTTCTTCCGAAGAACAAGAGGTACAGAACAGTCTCCTACAAGAACGATGTGGTCCCCAACTTGCGCTCCTACTGGGGCCAGTCCCATGTGCCCATACTCAGTAAGAATGAAGGACCTATCCCGCGTTATCCCGTCGACCTCGGTAGCCAAATTACGTTTTAGAACATTTTGCATCGCTAAAGCTAACCATTTATCCTTAGCGCAAAGCGGTTCGAGGTTTGGCTGTTTGTTTCGCCATAATAGAGGTCGCTGAGCTGAGAGTCTTGATCTTCTGAAGCCAATATGATCGCTCTGCCTGGAAGGAAGGGGTGGAGTGAGCCGGTGGATTATGACCAATTTCTGTTCGGGGCTCTTTCTCCGAATAGGATTCAAAAGCAGACTGCATGAACAGGATATATGCGTCTTTCACGCTGATGGAATTGATGAGACCGAGGGGCATTCGTCCGTTGACGGAATCCACCGCTTCGTTTTCACTCTTCGACAATTGTTGAAGGCCTAGTATCACGCGGTCACGATCCATCAAGATCGTGCGGTGAAATGCCCGCCTCCAACTGATATACGCATGATTTGCGGGATTGGTTGCCGCGCAGCAGTCCCACTCGACCATTCTCTTGCCAAAGGACGTGTCCGGGCTTGCAACAGAAGTAATTCTGCCCGACTTCATACCGCTTGCACGAAGAATCAGGGTATCTAGTTCATTATGCCATTTCAGCTCCTGCGGAATGAAAGTCCCAGCCTTAAATTCGATTTTTCTTCTCATCGCCCAGAGGCTGATACCGGTATAGCTCTCAACAAAAGGCCCGTTGTGATTTGGAACCCATGATGGCAGATTGTTGCAAGACCTGCGCCTCCGGGTACATAACTTGTGTCCTATTCCAGAATGTGCTATGAGTCTGGGATTCTCCTTCAAATTCTGGAGCGCGAGGTCCAAAAAATTGTCAGCCGGGCTCTTGGTGTAGTCTAGTTTGATAAAATGAGCCAGGTCGGGAAATAGACCAAGAACGCCATAAAGATAGTCCCGGGGATCCGTAGCCAGAAACCGCGCGGTATCCATCATTACTTCGTTCAATAGGGAAAGAGGCTCTGAAATTGTATAGTTCAAGAGCTGACGGGGTCCTATGAGGTTGTTGGCTAGCATCCTGTAGCCATCGAAGTTGCGCAGGTCGTTGGCTGCTTGCAAAAACGAGTCGTCGCGACGCCCTCTTGGTGCCAAAAAGATAGAATAGTTCATTTTGAACAGGCTTCGGTAAAGATCATCGCTGCTAATCTCGTTATTTCCACATAAATAGAGGCGTTTCCTGGCTAATACGTTTTCTTGGATCACTCACACTCTGTACCAGTACGGCCGGAGAAGGATGTCCCGAATCGCATACGACTTAGATTCGAAAGCTTTTGAAACATCGGGAATAGTGAAGCGACTTTCCGGTGACCGACACATGTCTGCGCACTTTTGTAAAAGCGGTAAAACCGAATCGTCATCCGCAGACGGCCCGAGCCAGCACAAGACTTCACGAGCCTCCGAGTAGATGCGCCCCATCAGAGAATTTTTGTTGTTGTTGTTGTTGTTGTTGTTGTTGTTGTTCTATTTAACGCCATGGCGGCAAGGGCGCAGCCGCCCTTGCGGCAGACCTCCCGAAGGGTATGTGGCGTGAAGGGTCGCAGGCTCTAGCTATATACTATATAGTACACGCCGTCTCCTGACGTCCTCCAAATCTTGCTCGTGAGCTACTATGTGTTCTATCCATCCCTAGTTCCCACTGGTGCCCTAGTTCCGTTATAACCATCTGGTTTCTTATTAGAGGTAGTTTGTCGTTTGGAGGATAGGTTATGACCTATCTCCTAGTACCGCGGGCAGATCTTCTGGAAGAAGTCTGTCACGCAGAGGAAGGCCTGGAAGCCTTCAGAGTCAGTGATTAGCCCCTTGAAGTAGCGATCGAGGGACCCTATAGGTCCTACGGGCTCCTGGCGGCTGTAGGGGTAGAGGGTGGGCCACTGTTGCCTCCTCAGTAGGGTCTTTCGGCAGTAGACTAGATGGTCTGCCTCCTTAACCCATCCACAGGAGCAGGTGAGTAGTGCTTCTGTGTGGTTAAAGCGTTGGTGATATTGTTCAAAGTCCCCGTGACCTGACCGTGCCGCGAGGAGGTGATGAAGGGCAGCCCTAGGGAGGCCAAGTTCAGCCCCATCAGAGAAATCTGATGGCCCTTTTCAGAAGTGTCTCTCTGGTTTACACATATTGCGTCGACCCATAGAAAACCCTTGTTCGGCTTCGATCGTAAGACTTTCAGGGCAGCATGAAGATTATAGGTGACGCCGAAAGGAAAACCATTCAGCAGGATAGGCATGGTGTGTTTCTCGTCGCCCCATGCGTACGAGAGAGCTTTGAAGCGAGGCGATTTATCCAAGCTTTTGGTATAAAGATTTAATTTCATGACGTCGTCGTTGTTCTTCGCTGATTCAATTCTGAGTAAACGGATTTGGGGAGAGTCTCCTCGACTTAGTTCTCTTGAGGCATGTCAGAAGACTACTTCGATTCCAGATGTATTGTTTCCTTACTTGTATGGGTTATGAGTTTCCATGACGACTGAACAGAGGGAGTTGAGTTGGCCTTAGTGTTGATATTTCTGAATGTCCGTTTAAATCTGAGCCTGATGTTCTTCACCGCGTGATATGTATTCAGATTAATGGCTAGATCTCCATTGGGCGTTCAGGCTGAGGATGTCTAGGCTGAGAGCCTGGCTGGGTTGCCTTGGGGCTGAGCCGCCAACCATGCATACAGTTAGGCTGCACCAACTGCACGAGTCTCTGACCAATAGGTTGAGCCTCGCACGCAGCCATATCATCGGCCAAGGGCGTTCGTTACCCATGTGACCGGGGCGTATGGCGGGAGTTGGTCCAGCCAGAAACACGAGTTCTTCCCTGCTTGTGGCTTTCTGAGTTATTTGAAAGGGACATACGTGACGGTTTTGAATGGTGTGCTGGGCAATGCAGTCGAGCGTCTAATGCTTGCGTTGCCAAGTCTTTTTGATACGTTGTCTGTGATCCTGTATTTGAATGAGGTGTGTACTTATGTTTGTAAGATGAAATGTCAGCCGATACAAGGTGCCCTGTATCTTGAATAACATGGGTTTTGGGTCTGCTGTATGGATATCTTCTACTGTCTCTTCAAGTCTATCAATGAATGGGAACAACACCAAAGGTGGCATCTTGGACTCCCGTCATGTGTAATGCGGAGTTACTTTACTTTTGCGCCCCGTAGAGACCCGGCACGCTCTTCTCAGCAAAGAACCACCGTCTCCCAACGAGGATAACAGTCCTTCCACTGGCTAAGCCAAACATATCCCACCCCAACTCTCCTCGCAACAAATGGCATACACGGCACCCTCTCAACAAGCATGACATTGAACCGCCACATCTCATGAAACTGCCCCTCGATAAACCCTCACTCAGTACTCTCGCTGACCTCCGTGTCAACAAAAGCACTAACAACAATGAAATCAAGCAACATCCTTCGATCCCTCGCCCCCTTCCGCCCTGAAATCCATCGGGTATCCATCTTATCCAAATACCCAACATGTCTTCCCATCATATCCAGAATCTCAGCATCCTCGCAGTCCCCCCTCCTCGCGCCCATCATCCTTCGATCCCGCCCAACCCTCAATGAGGCAACCGTCGTGTTAAACACCAGCGCCCCTGGAAAGCCAGCCGCTACCTCGACAGCCTCCGGATCAAGCTCCGCGTGCGCGAGAGCCTCCCACGGACTGTGAGGACATTCCCGCCACATGGCGGTGTACTTCTCATTCGTCTCCTCAGAGACGTTGAACTTGCCGCCGGCCATCTTCCTCTGCAACGGCGGCAGTTTCTCGATCCCGTTTATCTTGGCTAGCTGCATTCAGCTGCCCAGCCATCTCTCCGTCACCCGGGCATTGCGCAACCCATAGTCATCGTCTCCAGACCTTGAGGCAGCACGTCTGGCATCGTGTACATAAATTTGCACCAGCGTCACGATCCGTACGAGCTTGGTATCAAACAGTTGCGCATCACCGTGAATCCACCGATAACTCGCAGCACTCCCCCCGTCGACCGACGACCACGCCGCCCAGCTCCAACTCGGGATCTTCAACCCTGCGTCATCTCTACGTCGGACGGCGCCCACATGACTCCACATGAGGGTCTGGGGGAGGTACATCTCCGGCAAACCAAACGTCATCTTAGTGCGCATGGAGTCTCCTACAGCGTTGCCGACGCCCGCGAAGGCGTTCAGGATGTCTGTCTCACGGGAGAGCTGTCGCGATGTGTAGTCTTCGACCCATTGGCAGTAGTTTGCTAGGGATACTTGGCCTCGTAGTTTGACTGGTGCGTCTCTGTTGTGGAGCGCTCGGCGGTAGAAGCCGGGATGCTGGGGATGTGGTGTGTCTTCTTCTCGGTCGTCGATTCGTCGATATCTGTTTGGGTCGCGTGATGAGCTTGTGAGTCGTACTCGTCGATGGGATCTTCTGCTTGAGTTGGCTCTGCGTCCTCGCTGGGCAACGGTGTAGGAACTTCATGTCGTGCTCGTCCCCAAGTAAGTTCCTCAGCGGCGTGGCCCCGACAGCACTGGAATAAGACCTGGTACTCCGTGATGAAGATGCTGCGCCTGGAAAGAAGTCTCTCCTGGAACGTCCATCCCCTCCGGTTCCACAGGGATGCGTCGACTACCGTTTGCAGACCGTTCGGGTCAATCCCCTTCCCAACGTTCCGATTCCGCGGCGGACACCACAAGGAGGCGCGTGGCCTCCTAGGGTTGCCAGCATATCCAGGGAACCCGTTTCCCCGGCGATCATCCAGTGCGGCGAGAATCGAGAAAGATGCAGACTGGTAGATCCGGTCCATTCCGTCTATCTGGTCAGGCTTCGATCGCTCGTCATCTTGAACGATACAAAGACGGTCCACCCATAGATAGATAGCCTTCTCCGAGATGCCTGCAGAGAGATATCGCATCCAGAATGATGCGTGGTAACTTGACGGACTCGAGGCTTCCTGGAGCTTCCAAGTCCTCGGCGTTCGTCATCTCCAGCTGGGCATGTCCCGATGCCTCAGAGGCTTCCCACATGTAGCTGAGAGCAACGAAGCGGACCGGCCTTGAAGGCTTGACAATCTTCATTCCACGGACATCGATGACCCCAAACCCTATAGGAAGATGATCTGTGTCCATGTCAGGGTTGATGTGCGCAGAATAGAGCAGCACAAGACCACTTACCAATCGACTTGTACTTGGTTACGCAGTGGTGACCGTGAAGAATCTCACATCCATCGATCCAACCCTTCAATGTCTCAACGTCAAAGTATTCAGCCTCCCATTATTCAATGGCTTGGAGTCTCCGAGGTTCTTCTGTCGAGTATCGAAATGAAAACTGCGGCGTGACCGCAAAAGGCGACGGTAATGCATCCAAAGTCTCCAACTTTGACTTGTCTGGCACCGTACTCAGAGTCAACTCCAGAAACAACCTCACGGAGACTTCATCAGAAGAAGAAGCAAACAACCGATATTTCTGGTCCTCAGCTAAGCCTGAATCAAGAAAGAAAGGGCCCTGGAGCGCAACGAACAAGCACGCCTCGGAGCAGTCACGTAGCCAGCCATCCTCCCGCCGTCGCGCCTCGACAGCCGCAGCGACTGCGCGGCAAAAGAGACACTTCAAAGACCGAAAAGAAATGCTCTCCAGCGAGACATAGTGGTGGGTCTTCGATCCGAGACCAGCGGCAAAGTCGGGGACGTCCCAGTCCTGGCACCGCTCACATAGTCGCGGGTTGGGGTTGGCTTGCCGCCGTTCCTGTACGAGCTGCGCGATGCGTGGGAGGTTGGTGGCGGAGGCGAGGCCCCCGAATGAGACGGCTTCGGGTCTCTTGGTTCTCGGGAGCATTCAATAGGTTGGTAACCGAACTCGATGATGTATGGATCACGGGATGGTTCGTAACTGGGAATGGTGCCATACCAAAGGCGCGTGGTGGTGCCTGAGATGCCACTTCAGAGTATAATAAAATAGTGGAACAACAAGGTTTGAGTCTGCTGGAATTTTGGTAATTATACAAGACAAAGACTCAATGGTTGAGAGGAGGATGATGATGATGGAATCGTCAGGTAGATCTAAGCGGGAAGGTGTGGGGTCTGCGTTCTTCTGAGCCACGAAACGGGATTTCGGTTTGCTGACCAACATGGCGCCGAATCCCGGCACTACCACCTTAGCTTGAGACTAGCTGTTTAATCAAGACGACAAGGACAAGGTTCGACTTTTTGTCTCCTCAGCGAAGGTAAAGGCGTCGACACCATTGAGATACACGAATGCATACTGGTTGGTGACGGTGGCTAACTTGGCCTGTCGTGGAATCGGCCAAGTAAAGGTCGGAGCATCATGCACAGAAGAGAGCGTTGAAAGGTAGAATCAAGACGAACAAATCAAATACAATGAACAATCGAGTCAAGGCCTCTCCAGCAGCATGGTAAACCCAAAGATAGACATCTTCCATTCCATTGAACTCCCACTTATGCCCCATGGCCAGAGACCTTCCTATTGTACATAATTCGACATCTCCACGCTCCGTTTCTTTTCCGACTTTCCGCTGCAACCAAAGATTTGCGTGCTGAGTTTTCCGAGGAGAATCCCTTTCTCCTTTACCGTTGATTTCGTATGTATGGTCAGACAGTATAGGAAACGGTCTGTTGCGTGTGGTCTTCCAGACAAGGTGTCCCCATCCTGTATCCAGAGTGGAAGACTGGATAGAAGACCACACGCGTGTGATTAATAATTGGTAGGTAACGAACGTGGGCTGTGCTGTAATGCCGCACATCACTGAAGGGTGATGAGACACGAGGAAAGACGTATTCTATACATATAAGGATATAGGAAGTGAACAGCGTAGTAGACATTGGCTTCGTTGATCATGCGTAGAAAGCCTCGAAGAAGTAGATGAATCCGAACACGAGGAAAGCAACAGCGCCACCAACAGTGACTGTGTTATGTTAGCTAGGAGCTTATAACGTAGATGCGATGCTAACTTACCAACTTTGAGACTGACACGGCCTGCGATGGCACGGCCACCAATAACGGCAGCACCTGTGCAGATGCAGTGGCCAACCATGGCGCCAAGAATAACCCACCAGTAGTCCTGTCCTGCAGCCATGGCAATTGTTGCGATCTGACTGCGGTCGCCCCATTCGCCCAGGAAAGTCATTACAAACGTCTGGACCCAAGCAGGGCTGAGAAGAAGGCCGAGGAGGTTGTTCAGGCCGTTCAGCGAGCCCCTGATGCCACCAGGACCAGGAGAAGGGCTGCGAGGCGGCGACGAGGAAGGCGAGCGCGGGGGCGAGGGGAAACGGCTCTTAGACCTAGACTTCCTGCTGCCATTGAGACCCATTTCCAATGCGTAGGGAGACACGGCAGAGCCCCGTCTCTTGCCCTCCTTTTCCTTCTCGGCCAGCTCGCGCTCGACCTCGTGTAGCTCGGCAGTCACACCTTCGTTAGGGTCCATGCCCAAACCTTCACGAAGGAGCTTCGCCCCGAATACAAAGAACAGGCCAGCAGCGAGGAAGCTGGTCACACGCTTGGGGATCAAGGTCGGGACAGCGTGGCCGAGAACGGCCGACAGAACAGTCATGACCAAAAGAGCACCAAAGGCGGCGGAGAAAACGACCATCCGGTCATGCTTCATCGCCATGAGGGCAGCCACAAGGAATGTCTTGTCGCCAACTTCGGAAACCAGAATCATGGTAAGAGACAGGACGAAGGAATGGAAAGGCTGAATGACACCCTCGGCTTCGTCGTCGAGGCTGGAAGAAGACTTGCCCTTGGACTTTGAAAGATCAAGGTGGTCCTTGTGCGCTGAGTTGGGGAGCGGATTGGGCTTGTCGTCGAGCTTGGAAGGGAGATCGGCCGGTTTCTGTCGCATGTCAGCATTTCACATCTTGGCCAGTTGGGTGGCGATTAGGAAACTCACCTCAAGCCCCGCAACTTCGTCGGCAGTGTGGTGATCATGGTCGTGTTCTTTACCAGTGGTGTCCTTTTCGCTCGAAAGTTTCTCCTGCTCACTGTGCGGCAGAGGGGGCTTCTCCTTGGGAGCCTCTGGCTTGTTGTCGGCCTTTTCGCCAGTTCGGCCTTCGGCTGCCTTGCGCGCCTTGTCCTTTTCACTGACACCTCCCTCGGTACCCGTGGTTCCTTCCTTTGGCTTCTGGCGTGTCTTGTCGTTCATGACACCGTCGTTGGTCTCGGGGATCTTCTTGCCATCAACAACGGTTGGGTCGGATGGACGTCCCTTCAAGGGAGGCAATCCCTTCTTGCCATCTGTATCGGCACTCTCCTTCTTGGTCTCTCGGGTCTGGTCAACGAAGGGACCCTCGTGGGGCATGCCGTCTTTGCCATCGACAGGCGCGTGGTCAGTGCCGTATCTGGTCTTGATGCCAGAGGTGACGGTCGAGTCGGTGGCCTTTTCGGTCGAAGCTACGGCCTTGCCGCCATTCTTGTCCTTGGTCTCGACGGCGAGACCTGCGACGAGGGATGGAATGAGGAGGAGAAGCAAAGGGGAGGGTCGAGTGCGCAGCCTCATGATGACTCTTTTGGGCTGTCGAGCCTCACTGGTATCTGAACGATAGGTGTGAAATGTAAACGAGAGTTTGGAAGTAAGCTCGAGAAATGTTCTGCTCCTCTGCTAAGGGGGGAAAAGAAAAGGAAGGATGTTTTGGTGGTTTCTGATTTACTCTGGCAATGCGACTGCTCAGCCACGAGTTCTAAAATTGTTACGTATCTTTTGCTGCACGGCCACGGGGTAAGCAAGTAGGTACCTGAGGGTACTTCCTTGGACGTGAGGTGGGAAGAACTGGACGCGCCCGCCGTGGCCCCATGTTCCGAATCCCTTGAGGCGCCCCACAGGGGGCGACATTGGGGATCATGGAACCCCTAGAATGTTTCCGCCTGAGAGGCCTTGAAGGGGATATTTACATAGAGGACACTCTAAACTTCGGATAACGACTTAAGGCATATAGTCGTGTTAAGCAGTTGAGAGACAGACAATCGACTGTTCATGCACGCGTAGGGTGTAAAACAAACTTGCAATGCATCTGCAGCTAAGATAATAAATAGGTATTAAGTCCCCGCTGGTTCACTCTCCACCATTTCGTGATCCGTCTGTCTACTCGAGAAACACACGATAGTCAAAGGTGTGCTGTACTGCGCTGCAGTAGACCAGGTTGTATCCAGGCGACCCCAGATTTGCTGACAGAATTCCGAGAAACTGCTTGGCTCGACCCGAAAAGGTACGTATCCGTAAAGTGCCGAGAAGAGCTCCAACAGCTGGCGCCACTGACATGCCGGAGCTTACAGCAGCTGTGCTATCTTATCTCCGCCGTTCGGTCCAGGACACACCCCACCTCCCCCGGGGACTGAATGAATGTCGTCACGAACGACCGCTTCTTCATGAAACATAATCTGAGCGTTGTCTCTTATTGTCCTTCCTGTCCACTTCAATCGTCTTGGCCTTCTGAAATTCAGCCTTAGAACGCACCACGTACATATAGCTCGGCATCTAGACGATTGCCACGGACATTCCTGCATAGGGCTCTCCATCACACGTCGGCAGTCTCAAATCCGAGCTCCGTTGTATCACTAAGCATCAATCCGAACTTCCGTTTGAACCCAAAGCCAAAATGGACGACTCTGGAGACAATTTGCGATCTCCATCAGCGAACATGAATTTGAGTGAAGAGGATGATGAGCCCGCCTGGACTTATACCTTTGATCCGGAAGATGCCGAAGATCTGAACGACGACGATGAGTACGACCCCGACTTCCAAGATGAGCCAGAGGAAGACGACGGGGATGATGATGAGTATCATGGTAACAAACACCTCTCTTCCACGTCGAACCTCCCAAAGACTGACCATACGCAGATGCCGAGGACGGCGGCGACGAAAGCAACGTAGAAGTAGAGGTGTTCATGGGTGCTGGCGACGAGGATGATGATGATGCCGAGGAAGGCGGCATGGCCGCTAATCCGATATCGAGGCTCATGACTCTCATCGGTGAGTCTAATCAGGTTCAAGTAGAATCGTGTGTGCAAGTTCCGCTAACCCACGATACAGCTGGCGCTGCGGGGAATGGAACGGGGTTTCTTACACGAGCTCAATTGTTGGGCCTGATACAAAGTGGCGAAGTGACATTGCGCAGTACTCTCGACGACGAAGATGACGACGAAGATATCAGCTGGGGAAGAAGGCGCCGAAGGCCTCGCGCTCGGGAGCCGAACCGCTTCCCCAAGGTACCGAGCGAAGAGGGCTCGAAATTGATGCACTCTGGCGTTTTCGGCGCAAACGATTATCGAGTCACCAAAAAGAAGCAACTAGCACGCAGGATATTGGACCGCGAGCTCGGTCTGGGCGATAGGCGCGATCGGAAGCAGAACCAAGATCTCATGGCTCAGGGCATGATACCATCAACCAATCCCGAAATGATCGTGCACTACGACGACCCCGTATATTCCGGCCAGTTCTCCGACGACGGCAATTTCTTTTACGCCTGCGGTCACGACTTCAAGGTCCGCATGTACGATACCTCGAATCCATACAACTGGAAATATTATAAGACGGTTAATTACCCCTGGGGACAGTGGACACTGACCGACGCATCCCTGAGTCCTGACAATCGATGGCTGGCTTACACATCAATCCAAAGCAACGTCTGTCTGGCACCCACAGATCCCAACGACACGGGAGACCCATATACTTTGGATCTCGCAGAGAGAAGTGCCGGAACTCAACACGCGGGATGGAGATCGAGGCATTCCTTTGGTATTTGGTCTGTGAGATTTTCGGGAGACGGTCGTGAGCTCGTGGCTGGTACAAACATGCAGTCAATCGTCGTCTACGACATCGAGTCGCGCACTGTGTTACACAATGTCGTCGGGCACGAAGACGACGTGAACGCCGTGTGTTTTGCAGACAAGTCTTCACCGCACATTCTCTACTCTGGATCAGACGATGCCACCATCAAAGTCTGGGATCGACGTAGCATGGGAGACGGGAGGCCAGCCGGCGCTTTCGTGGGCCACGTGGAAGGCCTCACGTACATTGACAGCAAGGGCGACGGTCGATACATCTTGAGTAACGGCAAAGACCAGACGATGAAGCTTTGGGATCTGAGAATGGTCATGTCCACGGCCAAGTACGACGAGGTCAACCCGACGAGGTTAACCGGCAATAGCGATTTCGACTACCGGTGGGGTACATACAGGGACGAAGATTGGTTCCCGCATCCCAACGACAACTCGCTGGTTACGTTCCGAGGACATCGTGTAATGCGCACGTTGATTCGATGCCACTTTTCACCTCCATCAAGTACAAATTCGCGTTACGTCTACTCTGGTAGCCAGGATGGCAAGGTTTATATCTGGAACATGGACGCCACGCTCGCTGGTACCATTGACGTAAGAAAGGCCACGAAGAACTCGCGGCCATTGGAGCGCAGATACCGCATATATCATGGCGACGACTTCCCCGGTTGGAACACTTGCGTGCGCGACGTGAGCTGGCATCCCAATGCGCCAGTTCTTGCTGGTAAGTCCCCCATTTACGACAAATTTCGGGCTGTGACTGACCTCCCTCAGCATCTGCGTGGAACGGCTTTAACATGGCTCATGGAACCTGCACGCTGCATTCGTACAACGAAGCCGAAGATGACGAGGCAGAGCCGCAGATGGGTCGGAGTGTCGACGAGAAGCTGCGCCCAGTGGGCGAATCGTTTCAAAGCTAGTTACTTCGCGTTAGGAACCAGTTCACGTTTGGACAAGCCCTGTGGGATGATTATTTTAATTATTTTGTACATCTTCGACACATGTCCAACCCCTCTTTTGGCAATGATACATGATCGATGAAGCCTCTTTGGTCTCGGGGTATCTCCCATCACTCCCGCACAGCACTTCTTCGATGTGTTGCTGCGCCGCTTCTGCAATCTGCCCGTGCAATGCTTTTGAGACCCATCCCTGCGTGTAAAATCATGTTTTGGTCGTCACGTGTTGACGTGATCGTGCTCGAGAAGCCGGTCCGATGTGTCGGTGCTTCCATTGACGATAGATAAAAGGCGTTTATGCGCCTCCGACGAGGATGTTGTTAAGGGGAATGTGGATCAGCTTGACGATGTAGCCGACAGCGCCCATGATGAGGAAACCGACACCGACGGCCTGGCAGAGCTTCAGGAACTCGGTCTGGTCGGCTGCAAGGACACGTTAGTTTCCAAAGCTGGTAGGGCAAGCTTAGACGAGGGGCGCGACATACGCTTGGTGCACCGTCTCATGAATTGGACACCTTCCTGAGCGAACTCGGAGGGAACCTCGAGGATCTCCTTGACTTGGTCGGCCATTGTGGATAGAAGCGCGCGTGGGTTGCGGAGAAGAGAAAGGAGGTGGGTAATCTGATGAAAGTCGCAAAGGAAATCCCAATGGGCCGCAAGGTAACAGGAAACAACAAAGTCGATGAAGGAAAGGCGCGACGACGTGTGTTTAAGGCGTTGTAGGTCGAGGGGGTGGAAGATTCGAGAGGTTCGAATGGGTAGAAGGGAGATGTGTTAAATTGAGCGCGCTGTCACCAAATGGTCCCCAAAATTTCGGGACAAGCTCCCGCTGTGGAAGGAAGAGCCAGATTGCCATTAAGGAGGCATGGAGGAATAATGCGCCGGCCGCCGAGGTGCACGCCACTACGGAGTAGACAGATTGCTTATCTAAGGTTGGGATGATAGGAGTCCCCCTTGGTGTTCCCCTTCAGACTTCAGTGGAGGGCCCCCTGGATTCCCCCGCTAGTGGGCAGAGAGGGTCTGGTCTGGGCCATTTTGACCAGCCACAGCTCAGCGCATTCAAGCACACGACAGGGAGACGAGGTAGTGTACGTACCGGTTCAGCGGGACAGTCGCGAGCCCCATTCGGGCATCCACTGGCGGAGTCTGTGCCTGCCGCAGCCTGGCGGCCGTGGCCCTTGTCCAGTCCCGCCTGGCTCAAGATGCGACCTCAGCTCCTGAAAGAGCTCCCCCCAGTTTTCTTCCCTTCCCAAACGTTCCTCCACTCATCTTGTTCGACCGCAGTTCTTTCATCGCGTCAACATCAAACCGAACCCTTCATACCTGAGCTACTCGACAACACCACAGCTTTACTGAAGCTACCCTACGCGTCGATTGTCCAGTCATCACGTTAAACGTCAGATTCCCAGCGAAGCGGCGCGCAGCTGTTGCTTACTCGCGACCTGCCGGAAACCTTCATTAGGCTTCCTGGATCACTAACTGATCACGGCTAACAGCATCGCCCACACAGTGAGCGGGCAAGAACGCGGTTGGAGCGTCGGCCAAAGGCGGTGGCAGAACGAGCAAACAGTCTCTGGAATCTCGGGATCCTGTTTCCATTCTCCCTCGTCCCAACTACATCATCTTGTTGCCTGTACCTAAGGCTTCTGGGCCGAACAAGGAAAGAACTACGGTCACGTCGCCATTGGGGGAAGACCGAAGCACAGAGCTTCGTCTTCATTTTTATTTGACTAAAGGAGAGGATTAAATTGGCTTGGCAATTTCCATCCAACCTCTTCCATCCTGTCTGCGGAACGAGGAGTGTACGTATCAGATGTTCTCTGTTTTCTATCCTACGTTCGAACTTTTTCTTGGCTTCAGATTTTGGCAATGACCCTGTATTGGCAGCGGCTGATGATCATGTTCAAGACTGCAGAAATATCCTGTATCTCGCAGACTAATAACAACCTTTTTCCAACTACAACCAAGCTCACTGCCCCAACTCACGGCTACCAGATAATACCGTCACCATGGCTGAGGAGGAATTCGAGATCGATATCTACGGCGACGCGCCTCAGGATCACCAAGACGGAAACGCCGAGAACTATGATGGAGCCAACGGCCATGCCGACAACCACCAGGAGCAGCACGATCAGCACGAGCACCACGAAGATCAGCAGAAGCACGAGCAGCAGGAAGAATATCACGATCAGCAAGAGGCGTCTGCTTCTCAACAAGGCGTCAAGAGAAAGGGCGACGACCGACCGATCGACCCTGGCGCAACCACAGCCCTGATGGTCTCGGATCTCAACTGGTGGAACACGGACGATGACATCAGGGGATACGCCAGAGCAGGTCATTGCGAGGATGAGCTCAAGGATATAACTTTCAGTGAACACAAGGTTAACGGAAAGAGCAAGGGGTATGATTCGTGGTGAGGAAGACATGCATACACAACTGCTGACTCTGCCCACAGACAAGCCTACATTGAGTTCACAACGCAGCAAGCTGCCACAGCCGCCAAGCACGCTTTCGAGTCGACAGACAGCGCCCAAGGCGTACCGAAGAAATACCAAGTCACTTACTCGAACCCCCATGTCAACCCGTTCCGCACGCTGCCTAAGGATGCACCGAACCGTGCAGGTAAAGACCAGGGCAGCCGATCTGGTGGAAACTACAACAACAACCAAGGCTCCTCGATGGGTGGCGGCGACTTCCGTGGAAACGGCGGCTACCGCGGTCGTGGAGGCTTCAATGGTCAACGTGGCGGCATGAACCAGGGCGGGTTCAACCGCAACTTCTCGGGTGGTATGGGAGGCGGCTTCAACAATAACAATATGGGAGGCGGCGGCTTCAACAACGGCATGAGCGGCGGCAATTTCGGCGGCGGCGGTTTCCAGCGGGGCGGCGGCTTCGGTGGTGGCATGCGCGGTGGCCCCGGTATGCGTGGTGGGCGAGGCGGTATGCACAACCCGATGGGCGGTATGAACATGGGCCCGATGGGAGGCATGCCCAACATGGGTATGCCTAACATGGGCATGATGGGTGGTGGAATGCCTGGTATGACTCCCCCTTCTCTTGATTCCCTCCAGCAAAGTCACAATCCCCCAATCTCTCAACTTGACTCTGGTTCAACCCAGAAGCGCAAGCACTCTTGTCGGCGAAAGGGCAAAGTTGCCAACCCCGGCCGAGGCGAGACCCCTCCGAGTACCAAACGGCGGAAGGTGCAGCCAAAGCATGTATCCGAACTACCAAAGCCTGCAATTGCACCAGAGGTCGGCCGATGGACAAAGGAGCGCGGTTTGGAATTTACCACCAGTGCCCCTCAACCCCCTGCAGCTGCTCGATTTGGCTCGAGGATGCCGCTTCATTACTCGGGTCCTCGCTGAATGTTGTTTGACTGATTACTGCTGTTTGCGTTCTCGTTCGTTCTTTGCTCAAAAAGCACGTAAGCTGACTCTTTCCCAGGATTCCAAGGCATGCCACAACAGTTCAATCCTGCCTTCTTCGGCGGCAACCAGGGTGGTGGTAACGATTGGGGCAACCCTCACGGTGCCAAGCGACCTCGACCCGAGTAGGACTACCGGCCAAGACAGTTTGCGCGATCTTGAGGTAATGGCAGTGGCCGGGTCGGCTAGCCGTGGAACGATGCAGTGGTCACCGCGTCGTAGAGCATCCGGCCACAAACCCTACCCGCGATAAGTCAGGATTCATTACTGCAACCAAGACCCTCTCATCGACGAGATCTTTTTGCGTTTCTCAGGAAGGGTCAGTCAATCAAGGTCTCCTGTCTTCAGATAAGTGGCGGGTATATTGGCTGCGATCTCACGAAGCTTGTTGCTGCGGATGGATGATAGCAACCACCAAAATGTCAGATGTTTGCTTTGAGTTATTGTATGTGTACTATTAGAATATGGCTGCATGGGAACGGCCCCTAGCACCTCGGTTACGGCGTTACAGTTCAGACCTGAAAAGCACAATCTACGACTGCGTTTCGTCATTTCACGCCTCGTTGCTCTTTGCTTTACAGAAACCGATAGATTATTGTGTATTGGAAACGTTCAACTTGTCTATCGTGCCGCGAACGAGCAGCTGTATCTGCTTCCAGCGCGCCTCCACCATGTCTCGCTGAAACTGCTCACCTTCATCCAGCCCACGCACCGTCTCGATCTTGGACTCAATCTCCTCGTCGTAGGCCGACAAGATTTCGCATAGCAATGCATCGACGTCGGCTTGCTCCGCCTCCCCGTCCGCAAACCCATCGACGAACTGCGACCACCGCCTCGCCGGCAACACGAGCGTCCGCAGCGCCACCTGCGTCCGGTAACACACCGTCTCCGCGTCAATGACATAATTCCCCAGGAACCCCCTCTCCTCCAACCGCCGCCTGTGCGCGGCACCCAGCCGCGGCAGCAGGACGTCGTCGAGGCAGACCTCGTCCCACTCGTTTTCGCCCTGTTCCATGAGGAAACCGTATTCGACGAGCAGGAAATCGTTGCTATGGCGGCCGTAGCAGATGTGGATCTCTTCGCCGGGGGTGTAGGACCGATCGGCTTTGATGGTGAAGGAGTGCTTGTCAAAGGCGACGGAGCAGCCGCGGGGCGAGTGGTTGAGGAGGTCTGCGACGGGTTGGAGGATCATGTGGTCGTCGCGGTGGCGTTTTGCGGTTTTGGGGGTGATGTGGTAGAAGGTGCGGGAGTTTACGAGGAGCCAGGCGTGGAGGTAGGTTTCGTATGTGAGGCCGCCTTCTGGGTAGCTGTATTGGTGCTCATGCTGGTCCAGGTCTGGGAGCGGGGTTGAGGAGACGAGGGACCAGTGGGATTCGAACTTCTCGCGCTGGGCTTTGAGGAGGGTGAGGGCTTGGGAGGGGAGGAGGGAGGTGAGGGTTGGTGAGGAAGGGGACCAGGTTAGAGGGCAGGAGGAGAGGTCTTTGGGTGTTGGGAAGACGGTGGACCAGGTTTTGAAGGAGGGGGAGGCGTCGAGGGCGATGTCTAGGGCTAGGAGGGCGTGGACGGGTGTTTCTTTTGGGAAGGGGCGAGTTAGAGGTTTTGGGATTGTCGCGATGGTTTTTAGGCAGGGGATGGGGACGTCTAGGATTGTGTCGTCTTTCTGTGGTGGTGGTGGTGGTGGTGTTAGTTATGTTTGGTGAGGGATGATGTTGATGAGCTATGAGTTGTGTGGGTGTGGCTTACTTTGAGAGGTGATGTTACGACGATTCCGATGCCTCTTCCTGGGAGGGCGCGGGGGCCGACGTTGGATACTGTTATTCCTTGGGTCTGAGCCCAGGATAACAGGTTCTCGATTGCGTCCATTTGGTGTTTTGTTTGGATAGAGCTGAGGTTTAGGTCAGATGTTGAAGAGTTTAATAGTTGAAAGATGTGGTGAGTGCAACTTGAAAGAGTAGTGAGAGCTCATGAAAGGATGAGACCGTATCGTGAAAACTTGGTCGTACTTAAATGTATTCTCTGTGAGAGAGTTGATATGAGTGTAATTCGTGAGATTTTATTCGTTGAATGTTATACCGGCAGGGTGGGCTCTCTCATCCGCAAAGCGTCAACAGATTTAAATGAGACTGAGGTGCAAGCCCTGGAGACCAGGTTTCAATTTTCTTTGCTCCTAAGGGGATTTGGAGCTGCAGTCAAATTTAGGTATTCTAGAACAAGATAAGATGGTTGGCAGCCAGTCTTGTTGTGAAAGCTTCAAGATTGACAAGACGGAGGAAGTTGAGACGAATTGCACCTAAAAACCAAAGTGACGAATCAAATGCGCCGGGGTAGCAATTCCAACGATCTGGAAACGGAAGGTCCTGTCCCACCAGAATGCTCACCTAAACCACTGCCGAAGAAATGTGCAGCAGCAGCAGCAGCAGCAACGATTGGAAAGGTCGGCGCTAGTATCCACCGACTCCCCGACCCGACGGAGACCCCTGGCAGTCCAAATTCTCGGGAGGCCGTCGCCGAGGTGAGGTAATGGAGCTGCCCCGAGCTTCCAAAAAGTGTTCCGGTCATCGAACCACTCTCAACCCGAACTGAGCAGACAAGCTCTCGACAGCTTCCTCATCCCCAATCTTCAACCTCCCGACGACTTCCAACGGCATGTACACAATTACCATACCGTAAACTAAACGAAAACAGCAAAATGAAAGCCCTCACATCCATCCCCGCGGTCCAAACCCGCCGCGCCCTCCCCGCCATCTGCGCCGCCTGCACCTCAACGACACCCTCCTCCTCCCCCTCGCGCCGCCCCTTCTCCGTCCTAAACCGCCCACCGCCAAATTACCCAGGCCACATCCCCCTCACCAAAATCGAACGCGCCGCCCTCGGCCTCGGCGCAGGCATCTGGTCCCTCCTCTCCCCCTACCGAGGCGACCTCATCGCCGCCGTAGGCGAGACCACCGCGACCCCCTACTTCATCTACCGCCTCCGCGACGCAATGCTCGCCGACCCAACCGGCCGGCGCATCCTCCGCGACCGCCCCCGCATCACATCCACCTCCCTCAAACTATCCCGCCTGCGCGCCATGCCGGACAACAGCGTCGGACGCGCCTACGTAGCCTGGCTGGACGCCGAGGGCGTGTCCCCCGACACGCGGCCCGTGGTGCGGTATATCGACGACCCGGAGTGCGCGTACGTGATGCAGCGGTACCGCGAGTGTCACGACTTCTTCCACGCGCTGACGGGCCTGCCGATTGTGCGGGAGGGCGAGGTGGCGCTCAAGGCGTTTGAGTTTGCGAATACGCTGATTCCGATGACGGGGTTCGCGGTGCTGAGTTATGCTACCATGAAGGCTGGGGAGAGGAAGCGGTTTCGGGAGATTTATGGCCCTTGGGCGGTGAAGAATGGGATGAAGGCCAAGGAGGTGATTAATGTCTACTGGGAGGAGCAGTTGGAGAGGGACGTGGATGAGTTAAGGGCCGAGTTGGGGATTGAGAGGCCGCCTAATATGAGGGAGATTCGGAAGCGGGAGAGGGAGGAGAGGAGGAGGGCGCAGGAGGCTTTGAAGGGGGTGTAGACTGTGGTTTGTGGGTTGTGTATAGACATGGGGTTTGTATAGATATTGTATGTTTGATGTAGTTTTTGTTTAATTTTTTGGTAGGGTCCTGGTGGAAATCCCACTTGGACAGAAGCCAATCTGCTACGTTTTGCAGTCATGCTTTATGAACGCCCTTCAACGCCGGCATGGAAACTCGTCCTGCAGAGGTAGTTTTATAGTCTCCCTGGTAGACCTTTGAAGTCTGCACGCCATTCTGAAAGAGACCCCTACACTGAGGACGGAACACGCATGCTCAATAAAACAAACCCCCGTTACCCTGATCTCTCTCTGTAGAGTGTTGGCAGACACCTACAAATCCAACAAATCGTCATCGTCATCATCCCACCCCTTCCGCCTGCTCACCACAATCTTCTCCTCCTCCTTTGTCCCCGCCACGGCCTCAAGCAGCTCCTTGAGCTGCGTCTCGGTCACCTTGCTGCGCAGCTGTCCGCTCTGCGCGAGCATAATCAACCTGTTCTCCACGTCCTGCGCGCGCTGCTCCTTGACCAGACGAATGCGGCCCAGGCGGTCTGCTGCCTCGGGGTGCAGGATCTGGTTGAGGATTTGCTGGCGGGCTTCTTGTTCTTGTTGTCTGTGGGTGGGAAGGGGACGTGGTTAGCTAATGTTTCGATGGGGGGGGAGTGACGAAGGGTGAGGTCGGTTGGGTTCTGTGGAATGAAAAGTCGGGCGCAAAAGTATGGATCTAGGTTCTCTGTGAACGGAGGTGAGGGATGAAGACGTACTGGCGCTGTTCTTGCTGCTGCTGCTTATTCGAGCCGCCGCCGCCGCCGCCGGAGCTGCCTCCCGCGCCGCCTTGCGCCTTGAGCTGCTCGAGGCGGGCCTTGCGGATCTGTAGTCGCTTGCGTCAGTTCCCAAGTTACCAAAAAAAATTATTCCGTCGGGCAAGAAAGAGTTGAAGTTTGCCTACTTGTTCGAGTTCGGAGTCGTCCATGGTTGCGGGTATCTGCGGTTGCGTGTTTGCGCGGAGTTGTTTGGTGGAGGTTTGCCTTTTGGCGCAGGAAAACGCGGGGCTCCTTTCTGATGTGCCTGACGTCCAAGTTTTTGGCGGGGTTGGCTGGAGCTTGGGGGTTATTTTTTGGGTGCCTTGTTACAAATTTCATGACGACGAGTACCATTTTTTGGGACAGAGTAAGCTGGCACGACAGCACGAATGATTTCTCATCTCAAAGGTTAAATGCCGACTCTGGTCTTCAAATTATTTGGATGAAATATGTAAAAATGCCTAAATTCTATACTTGAATGTAGTCATACAATGCTAAACCGCCCATCAAGTAAAACACACAGATGCCCAGTCTTACAGCCGTTGACAGCATCATTTACCTCCTCGAGGTCACCTCTAATGGCATATATGACCGGTGTTTCTCCAGTTGCGCCTTATGCTTCGCCTTCACCATGCCCATAACCATCTCGTTCGCCGGCAGCTTCACGCCCAGCCTTCGGCCCCTCTCGATAAAGAAGCCGTTCAAATAGTCAATATCCGTCAACATGCCCCGCTGGATCTGCAACGCCATCTTACTCGGCGCGGACCCCTTCCCCCTAAGCTTCCCCATAATCTCCTTGCGCATGCCCTCACCCCGCAGGACGGCCTGCAGCTCGGGCGAGTTCTTGACCTCGGGCATGCGCGCAACCACGTCGGCGATCTCGTTCAGCAGCTGGGTGATGAGCTTGTTGGCCGTCGGATTGTAGATGAGCTCTTGGTAGCGGTAGTCCAGCAATACGCAGATGGGGTCGCAGACGGCCGAGAACATGAGCGACGGGATCTTGACCTTCATCCAGCTGTCGAGGGCCAGACCTTTGGCCTTGAGGAGGTCCGACGACGCAAACTTCGCCATCATCCCTTGCGTCCGCAGCCAGCTGTCTGTCGAGAGGTGCTTGGACTTTTTGGGGCCGTACCACGGCCGCACGCCGGCAAGCGCCGTCTCGTATTTGGGCGTCATCACCTTGACCGATTTGGCTTTTCGGTCAAACGCCAGGGAATGCGTCATGTGTCCGAGCATAATCGACGGGCGCCTCTCCGGCTCCGGGAAGACTCGATTGGTGGCCGCCTCCGCGACCCCGAGTCCGTCTTGCACGTAGCAGACGGCCGTCCGGTCGTCGATTCGGTGCTTGACCTTCTCGAGCAGCTTAATGCTCTCGCTCGGTCTCCCGGCCACAACGAGGTTGCTGATATGTGTATCGTCCTTCTCCACTTCTGGCGACGTCTCTATTGCGGCATTCGGTTCGAACCAACCTTTTGAATTCTTCTTCATGCTTAGATTTCCGGCGATGCCCCGATATGGTGTGTTGGCCGGTATGTCTAGCGTCTTCACCGAGTCGTAGATGCCGTGCAGAGCGTGTGACAAGAATAATGATCGCTCGTCGTTTCCGAGAACGTGAACCGTACGCGACGAAGGTGGCGGCGGCGAGTTGTGTCCCATCATTACGGCCGGCACGTAGAATCGTGACGTTGAGTCCGCCCTGAAGATGGCGTATAGCTCCTTTTCGTTTCCCTCGGGTTGTAAACCCAGTACTTTATTGAATTTTTGCTTCGTCGTGCCCGGCACACCCAGGGTTGTGCCTCCGGGGACCGTAGCTGCCATCTCCTTGGGTGCCACCCTCCCAGGGGCGATGCCCTGCGGCGGCGCTGCTCCCGTCCCGAGGCCGAGTTTATTCGAGGAATCGATCGACACACATCTGATGGCTCCCCGGCCCGTAGACGGGCTACCGTACCTCCATAGCGTATGTGTTTTGGGTATCCGCGCGGAGAGCCGCGGTCTCGGGAGGCTTGCCAGAGTGCCTGCCACGATGAAATCTTCGAGGGTTCGGCGCAAATCACTGCGCAATGCTCATTAAAGGGGAGGGATTGAGGCGCGGTCTTGGGCGGTGATGCTGTAACAACTCGCTGACAGTGTAGGTCGTCGTTGAAAGAGTAGAAATTGGTGTTCGGATACTACAGAGGTTCTTTTTCGTGGTTAATAAGCGTAGGGTCCTGTCTTTGTCGCAAGAAGGAGGCGTTGCTGGGTGTGGATGACGGGGACACTCGTTAGGTTCTCTCTCAAAATTTGGCGCGTGGTATCCGTAGCCGTGGAATCCCGGCCGGCAGGAGACCGACCCACCGAGCTCACGGGCGATCCCTGCGCCTCGTTAGATGCATGCAAATCCTTCAACGCCCGGATTTCTGAATTTTCAACGACCGTCTCATCGATGAGAAGGAGCTAGCACCAGCACTCACTTACATCCATCGCATCCATTTCATTGTTTCTCTCGGCAACGTGACGACTTGCCTTTTACACATACGATTTTGATTTTTCCGCGACTACATCGACAACAATCATCATGGCGCTCAAGGATATGACCTCCGACCTGAAGAAGCTCGATACTCACATCGACTCTCTTGAAGATGCACTCAAGCCCCTGATTGACAACCTCCCCGAGATGGCTAACGAGCTCCCCCTGCTCGACAAGGCCAAGATGTTTGCTCTGACTGCCTACGCCATCGAGACTCTTCTGTTTTGTGAGTACCCTCTTGCAGCAAGCATACATCGTTGTCGTCGTCCCCCCTGGCTAATCCCAATGACAGCATCACTCCGTCTCCAAGGCGTCGACGCCAAGGACCATCAGGTCATGACAGAGCTCAAGCGCGTGCAGCAGTACTTTGGCAAGATCAAGGGCGCAGAAGAGACGCCCGCACAGCGGTCAGCGACGGTCAACACGGAGGCCGCGATGCGCATTCTCAAGGCGGATCTTGTGAGTCAACTTAAGGGAGCAAGGGGTCCCTGAGCAAACGAACTGACCACTATCACAGGGAAGCAATGACCCGGTGCTGAAGAAGAGGCTGGAGGAGAAGCTGGCCGAGGAGCGGGCCAAGGCGCTGCTCAACTCGATGCAGAAGACCAAGAGGCCGGCTCCCGAGTCGCCGTCCGCCAGCTCCTCTGGCCCGGAGAAGAAGCAGAGGAACTCAAGACGGAAGAGCTCGAACAAGAACAAGTCTTGAGAGCAGGATTCTGTGAAAGACTTTGACGAGCGCCCCTGATGCCACTTCCAAAAAAGGATTTTGTTTAGCAGCCACAGGCTATGGAGGACGAGTCGCCCAAACGGTTGGACATCTTCGAGCCATGAGAGATACTGCAAGCTTGACGGTTGGATGACTGTCTGGCACAGTTACGGGAAAGTTGAAGACCACGGCTGACCTCGCCGCGCCGCGTGATCAGACCCGAAAGTAGGTCCGTCAAGATTGGCTGAAGACTGCCCTCATGGACTGGAGTGACTGTATTATTTTGCGCACTGGGAAAAAGGATACCCCTAGATAGAGATGAATACCAAATAATGAACGAACTCTTTCCGATGCCTAGTACATCTTGTCCAAACACCTTTATTCCATATTCACAAGTAATCAACAGCATTGCCACTCTTAAAGCTTCACTCACCCCTTTGCTACATATCCCGTGTTTACCACTAACCCCAGCAAAATACCCACCTAACCAGAAAAGGACCCCTTCCCCAATTCCTGACCACGACCAAATTCGCCCTCCCCTGATTGGCCACACCTCGCCACTTACCCCGGCCCGCCGAGCTTTGCAACCACGCCGGAAAGCACCTCTACAACTTTTGTCACCTTAACCCCGGGCGCATAACTTCTGCCGACTTCCCTCCCCATCCACGCCGGCATTTCTGCTTTCCCTCTTTCAAAACACCACCGCTCCTTCACCTCACGAAGTCACGACCACCCTACAACACTACACCACACCACCCTCACTCCCGAGTACTTTTCACACAAACCTCCGACAAGATGCCTCGCCAACGCTCCGCCGGCCGCCCCAGCGCCCCCTCGCGCCCTACCGTCTCGGCCGCGAAGCCCGCTCCCACCCAGACTCGCCCGGCAACGACCATGGCCGCTCCCCCCCAACAGCACGCCGCTCCCCCGGCCGCCGCGCCCGCTGCTCCCGCCGCTGCGTCCCAGGGCCCCGGCCTCTTTGGCCAGATGGCTAGCACCGCTGCGTACGTCCATCCCTCCAAAAGACACCAAGTCCTCCTCTAGCTCGAGAGACCTCTGCTCCCTCAACAATCCCACCCCAATAATCCAGATAACGAAGCAAGAAGCTAACTCAACTTCCCTCCAACAGCGGCGTCGCAATCGGCTCCTCCATTGGCCACGCCATCGGCGGCATGTTCGGCGGCGGCTCCTCCGCGGCCGCCGAGGTCGCGCCCCAGAACAACTCCCCCATGACCGCCACGGGCGAGTCCCAGACCACCCAGCAGTGGGGCAACAACTGCGCCGGCGCCACCCAGCAGTTTACAAAGTGCATGGACGAGCAGAGCGGCAACATGCAGATCTGCAACTGGTACCTCGAGCAGCTCAAGGCCTGCCAGGCTGCTGCTAGCCAGTACTAGACACACCTTTCGTCTGAGACTCGTCTGAGAAGGGCGTTGTTGCGTGGTGTTGAAATGTTTACTTTCCCCCGGCTGAAGATTGGTCGGGGTGGGTGTTATATGTAACTTAATAGTCAAAAACGGGAAATGGGAAAGCAAAACAAGCAAACAAAACTTGGGGCATGGAGCTTTCATGGGATTCATATGGCAATTTTATTTTTTTGCATTGGCGGAAGCATTGAAAGATGGGCCATTGATGAAGAACTACATCTCCCAACGGTGTACAATACATGACATTCCCACTCGTTAACCACTCTGCGCCCCGTCTAATGTGATTTGATATCAAACATGTGTGCCATACAGTCCGGCCCACTCACTCGTCCTTCTTCTCATCCGGCCGCGGCTCAAAGTTGAGCTATGATAAAGTCAGCAATCATGATTCAACATGATCTTCAACTCTGCCCCCGGAGTAAAGCGGACAAGAAGACTTACCGAATTGCCATTGTACAGCTGGTGATCACCCCTCCGATCATCAGGATTCGCAAACTGCGAAAACTTACCCTTCCTCTGCTCCCTCACTGTAACCGGCTCCGCGCCCTGCTCCTCAGCCGCCGCCGCCGCCCGCTGCCTCTCTCCCAGCCCAGAAAACACCCCCGAGACAAGCCCCCAAAGCCACTGCAGCAAACTCAACGGCAGCAAAAGAAACGTCACAGCCATCTCCCCAAACGACGAACCACCTGCGTACGCGCCAACATGCGCCCCAACAGGCGCCAGCACGAGCGTCGAAGAAGGCGACAGCCCCAGCTCCGCGAGACTCTTGCCCTCCTCCGTGTCGTCAATCAACCTACTCGGCCGCGGCGCAAGCACAACCTTGAACCGGAACGGCTCCCCACCGCTCCCGCCATCCGTCCTCTCGCTCTCAACCCACGTGCGCACTTCCCCGCCGAGCGTCTTCCCGCTGGGGAACCGCGAGCGGATCGTAGACCCGTCCAGAAGCCGAACCTGCAGCGCCGTCATCCCGCTCGCAGACGAACTCGACGGCGCAAGCGAACTCGACTCAGACCTCGTCAGCGCGGCCGCGACCTCGCCCAGCTTAGGCGAAGACGCTTGGTCCCTCAGCGCGGCGCGCTCCGCGGCCTTGGCCCTCCTCTCGGCGCGGTCGTCCTCAATCTTCCTCAGGATGCGCGCCTTTTCGTCGGCCGCCTCTTGGCGCGCTTTCTTCAGGGCCTCTTTGTGGTTGCGCGTCTGCTCTGCTTGCTTGGAGTTGTCCGTCTCCGCCTTCTCCGCCGCCGCCGCGCGGGCTGCCTTTGCCTTCTTTTCGGACTCGAGGCGCTGGGCTTCCAGGCGCGCACCGCGCTCTGCGAGGACGGCGCGGAGAGTGGCGGCGTTGTCTTCTTCTTGGGTTGGGGTGGCGGGGCCGCGCGGGCTGGGGGAGGAGGTGCCGGGCCTGGCGGGTTGAGGGTCCGTGATGGCGGGGGCGGCTGCGGCGGCAGCGCGGGGAGGGTTGTACGGGGTCTCGTCGTACAGGTCGTCGGCGGGCTGAGCGGTCGGTATGGAAGCTGAGGTTGGTGCTGGAGTAGGTGCCGCGAGCTGAGCTGCTGCTGCTGGTGGTTGACCCTGAGCGCCGCGGAATGCGGTTGTGACGCGTCTGACGAACTCGTCCTTGCTGGTGCCGGCGACGATGTACTCCTTGAGGTCACCATTCTTGATCACGATGACGGTGGGCGTGTTGGGCAGGGGGAAGATGGCTGCTAGATAGCCCGCCTCTTCCGATCCCTTCTTCAGGCGCAGCGCGACAGCCTCATCTTGGAGCAAAGTCGCAACCTGGTCCAGTCATTAGCCCCTGAGCCGAGATATTATTATCACGGGAAGCTCAAATACGTACCGAGCTCTCTGTCAGATACTCAGTCTCCCAAGTCTGGCTCTCGGCTTCCTCATCTACGTCTCATCAGTGAAAAGGTCTTACAGCTGTGAGCTGTGAGACGTAAGCTTACCAGTGACAAAGCAAAAGACGCACTTGCTCTGCTGGAGCGCAGTGGCAATGCCTTCTTGCAGACCACCTGTGAAGAACATGATGATGTGTGTAGGTTATAATGATCTCTCTGGGTTGAGTCTAGAAAGCTGTGAGTTTACGGTCGAATGTTGCTCTGAGAAGAAGAGGGATACTGACGCTGTGGAGCTCAATCTTGGACGATGCTGAACCTAGATCTGAAAAGAACCCACTAAAGCTTTCAAGGTGTTAAACGTGGCTTGTTCACAGCTTTGTCACGGCCACAGTTCGTTTCGGTCTCGAGTGATACCTTGTTGTTTGATGAATGACTGAAAGCTCAAAGATGACGGGAGAACAAGTGTCGTTGTGTTGATGCGAACGGCGCCAGGGGACCTTGCCTTAGTCCAATGTATCCCTCCCTTCCGGGGGGGCGGACAGTGAGCCACCCTATTGGCGCTGGGCCCCACCTTTTCACGCCACTCCACACTGCTGCAGCTCTCTGAGCTCCCAGCTCTTCCGTTTTGCATTTCCCGCTGCTCAGGTACTCTAGAACGGGCCGGCCAGACCCCAAAAAACCGAAATATCCTGACCTCATCACCCGGGCACAGCTCTCACTCAAGAAAGCCTCCCACCCGCCATCACCACCGGGGAACCACCAATCAACCAGCCGGCGCCCCCCCCCCCCCGGACGAGCCTCAAGAATGCCGCCTCCTCTACCACGAGCGCTCTTCCGGGCCCCAGGTCCCGCGGCGCAAACCTGCCTACGCTCAATCGCCCGCCCAAGGATATACCCATCGTCATCATCACCATCACCATCACCACTACGCGCAACACCACGAACCCGCAAATTCCACACCACCCCCCGCGCCCTCGCCTCCGAACCAGCCCCAGACTTCCACTCCATAGTCGACAACCCCCCCGAACTCGTCCGCGCAGGAAACCGCCACGGGCCCGGCCTCATCATCCTCGCCCTGATCCCCATCACAGCCTTCGCCCTCGGCACATGGCAAGTCCAGCGCCTCGGCTGGAAAACCGAGCTCATTGCCAAATTCGAGGACCGCCTCGTCCGCGACCCGCTTCCCTTACCGCCCAAGATCGACCCCGATGCCGTGAGCGAGTTCGACTACCGCCGCGTCTATGCTACGGGCCACTTCCGCCATGATAAAGAGATGCTCATCGGCCCGCGCATGTGGGAGGGCGAGCAGGGGTACATGGTCGTGACGCCGCTCGAGAGGGAGGGCGAGGGCACGACGGTGCTGGTGAATCGCGGGTGGATCAGCAAGGAGATGGCGGATCAGCGACGGAGGCCGTCTGCGCTGCCGAGGGGGGAGGTCACGGTGGAGGGATTGCTGCGGGAGCCGTGGAAGAAGAACATGTTCACGCCCGATAATAGACCTGATCGCTGGGAGTTTTTCTTTCCCGACGTGCACCAGATGGCGCAGCTGACGGGGAGTCAGCCTGTTTGGATTGAGGCTACTATAGGTATGTCGCTGCCGACTTCCTTTTAGGAGGTTCCTTGCGGGGCTTCTGCTACGAGATACAAAGCTCATACTGACTTTCCTCGCAGACCACGAGTTCTTCCGCATCATGGACCTCAAGAACAGGGGTATCCCTATTGGAAGAGC